TCAGTTCAGTTCAGTTTTGGACACTTTGTCTGAGCCCCAAACCAAACCTTGTGTTACACCAAATTTTTTATACTCTGGTGCACAGAGAGAACAAGCAAGGAGTGAGTGTAAGAGTGGATAAACTTCCTTAGGTTTAGGATCAAGTTAGTTGAGGGTAATCAATAGGAGGACTTGCTAAGGAGTCTTCTTGATCTATACACTACTACAGACTATTTGTACATACATACTATACGGTTAATAAATATGGTGGCTGATGATGTCACAGGGTGCAGCCCTTGTGACCAGCCCCACCACATGGGACAGTTATAACTAAAACAAAAGGAAGCTGTGCAGCATAAGAAAATGAAAGTTTAAGTGGAGATTGAAACATAAAGGAATGTGCTGCAGGGCACAAGTGTCTAAAAGAGAAAAAAGATTAAAATAGAGTCTGAAAGTTCAAAGTCCAAAAATTGTATACTAAAACACTACTCACCTTCTAAGGTTTGACTTTCAGGCGATACCAAGTACTGGAGGTAGTAGTTGGAGTTTTAAGCATTGGTTGAAAAAGGGAATTAAAAAGATTCAAATCCATGCCTCTAGGTTTCTGAAGAGCCAAGGGATTCTTAGAATAGAATTTGCAAAAAATCCTTGTCTTCATAGCCCTTTCATAGGACCAGGAGCTCTAATTTTCCACACTTCAAGCATGCATCCACCACCCATTCAGCTTTGAACTCTTCTTCACCTTCCTGGGTGACTACACCCAGTCCAGGTTGATCTACACATTGTTCCAGCAGCTGTCCCTTGTAGGGTTTCACACGGCTATTGACTGTGGGTACTACCCTCATTTGTTTTGGGAGTTCTGTAACAACCAAAGTTTTGATACTCTGGCACACAACTCAGACAGGAAGATAGGAGTAGGTAAACCCCTTAGGATAGGACCAAGTTAGTTGTGGGTATACAATAGGAGGACTCACTGAGGAGTCTCCTGGATCTATTGGGGTTTATATACTAATACAGAGTATTTGTGCTTGTGTACTATACAGGTGATGAAGGCAGTGGCTGATGATGTCATAGGGTGCAGCCAATGTGACCAGCTCCGCTGCATGAGATACTTTGTATCTAAACTTAAAGAAAAGCAATGCAGCATGAGAAAGTGGAGTATGGAGAAAAAGGAAGTGCTGTATGGCACAGTTGTTTGAAAATTGAAAATAGAACGTTGAAGTGGAGAAAGAAAGTTAAAGATCCAAAAATTGTGTATTATAACACTACCCCCCTCCTAAGGCTCAACTCCCATGCAAGACCAAGTACCAGAGGTAGTAGTTAAAGTTTTGAGCATAGGTTGTTACAATACACACAATTTTTGGACCTTTAAATTTCATATTCTCCCCTTTAACTTTCTTTTGTAGTTTTCACACACTGTGCCATGCGGCACTTTCCATTTTGTTTAAACTCCACATAGATCATAGCTATGCGATTTGGATATCTTCTCGAGGGTCTATGATGGTTCTCCTTCGCCGTAAGTATGATAGAATGTGAGTATAAAGGGAAGATAGGAAGAAGAAAGATAGAAGTAATAATGTACCGGCTGTGATCTCTAGTCCAAGGGCAAGAGGAGTGACGGGGAACGAGTTGGATAACCACAATGTAATGGGAATGTGATGAGAAAATTTGATTCCTCACAGCAAGTGCCCAGTGTCATGCACCAAAAATGATTGCATGAACAGGTGTCAATAATGAAGTGAATATTTAAAAGACTTGACTTTGTGCCACACAGGCACAGTGCCACGTGGAATAGTAATTAGTATTGCCTTTTTCAAACTTGTGGCTGATCAGCACCACCTTTATTAGGCAATCAAGTTGCGCTCACCTTTGCTTTTCATTTGGTACTTTCTGCATTTCAGCATTTTGGCAATTTTTTGCGTCATCACTGGCTACACATTGCGCCCTTGCATTTGTTGTTTCCCCTACCCTTTTTCCTTTACTTAGCCCCACCATGGGCCTTTTACTCTCCTTTTTATTCTCACCTGACAGTCATTTCTGGCTACCTATTCTAGTCCACTGCTTTGTCACCTCCACCCTCCTCCTACTTGTCTTCCTTGCTCCTCCACCATAACTGATGTCACCACTTTCTATCTGCTTCCATCGCCAATCTATTGACTACCACATGCCACTTTTAATATCAGCAAAGCCCCAGTGGCCTGTCCAAATTGGGCAACAGATCCAACTTCATGACGTTGATCTGCCATTGTCCACTGTTAAATCATTGGTCACTCGTCTTGCCTGCCAGTGGTTAGAGCGTGGGTGGGTAGTTTTTGAGCTGGAGAAGGTTCATCCCCTTGTGTTTCCAATATACATTGCTGTCCCAATCACTTGGGTATATTTATCCTTTGTCCATCGTCTTCGCTACAGCTACACCTACCACACGCTGCCGGAGACTCACTTGTTCCAAATTGGAACTACCCCTCTCCTCCCTTGTTTGACCAGGTGGTCTACTACAAGCAGACTATTGTTAAAGCCATAGAACCATTGGATTTAGACAATGTGGTGGACTGGTGGCTCCAGTTCTTTTTTTTTCAGTAGAACATTTATTTGCAGTGCGATTAATTTTGATTTTTTGAACCATTTTATGGACACATATTTTTTTAGAATGCCTGACTGACAATAAAAGAACTGCGTTGATACTGATATTTTTTTTTCTTGACCCTTTTTTACTGTATCTTCCCATGACATCATGATTTTCTTGCTCTCTTTCTGCTATTGGGCTTTTTTTTATGGCTGTACAAACCTGTGACATTATTTACACAGCATTCGTTGTTCTGTCTCTTTCTTTTCCTTATTTTGACGATCTTATCCTGTACTACCTATGCAGGACTCATTAGCGTACATTCCTTCCTGCATGTTCTTTCTCATTCTTTTTGCACAGCTATACTGTGCATAGCCTACCTTTCTTTTACTATATAAACCCCTGTATTTTACCTTGTAAAAAAAAACAAGAACTCGAATCCAGACTTCTTCTCTAATCTCAAGTTCACTACCCTGCTACTTGTAATCCAGTGTGGTCACAACACTTCCCACTGCTACCACTGTTAACTGCTGTCATTGTTACTCGCCACTTCCAAAGTCATTGTTATCCCTTCCGATTAAAGTCCTTCTGAGCACTACAGTCCGTGCATCAGGAGCCTGCTATCACTGGGAACCTCATTATTTTGTCATTCTCAAACCTACCTTGTGCTAAGATTAGCAAGGTAGTGCTCATCCTATATTCATCTCAAAAAGCCCCTATCCTCCATAATCCAACTATCCCTCCTCCCCAAAACCCACACCCATATATTTCTGGGTTTTACTTTGAAGGATCGCTATACATACCACCCCACAAACAACCAGAGCACCCACTGTTTTAGAAGGCAAAGCCCATAAACAAGTTCCATGGAATCTGGGAGGATTGTGTGTTAGTTTGTTCTGTTTGTGGTTTTCTAACAACAGTTCTCATCATTGACACCAGCCTGGTCAGAGGTATTCAAAGAAGAAGTTGTATGTAATGTTCTAATCAACAATGGTTCCACACCACTGTTGAGCTAAAGTACTCCCCTTGACACTGGTTTGGTTCAATTCTCTCTGGTACCTCATCCTGAGGAGCTCACCTGCAGGATTGGGGTACACAGTATTTCCATGGGCGAGCAGAAGCTCAACACCCAACTGATTATATATCCAGCTCATTGAGAAGATTATTCCCACTTTTGAGCAGCTTCACAGGTTTGGATATTGAGAATTGTTCATGATTGATAATTCTCAAGGGCACTCTGCATATGCCAAAGATGCTCTGATCACAAGTTGCATGAATATTAACCCAGCAGGGAAGCAAGCTCGGATGCAACATGGCTAGTTCATCAAAAATGGTACCCGGGTTAAGCAGAGTATGGTGTTTCCACCGAACAATCCAGAACACCCAAACAAACCAATGGGCATCAAGGTAGTTCTCACAGAGCATGTCTGTATCAATCCCAGTTGCACAAGAAATGCAAGTCAGCATACAAGCCAGATGCAACAGTGTGCTGCAATAAACAAATACTGGAGCTTCAACCTGACTTTTGGGAACAAAAATCACTTGTTCAAGCGGTGATAGAGTCTGCAGGGCATCTCTGCATCTTTTTACTGAGGTTCCATTGTGAACTGAACTTCATTGAGTTTTTCTGGGGTAAAGTAAAGAAATATCTCCACAACTTTGCAATTGCACATTTGGGACACTGAAGAATTTGCCGAACGCACTGGAGTCAGTGTAGCTGAAAACAATACGGTTGTGGGAGCACATGATGTACCAATGGATGGAAGCATATCGGTCGGGGCTGGAGACAAAAGATGCTCAATTGCAGGTTAAGAAATTCAGCTCCACTAAGTACAAGTCACACAGACATGTTCTGGAGGCCATTGCCCAGCTTTTTGATTGAGTACTACTTACTTCTGATATGGTGGCCAAATTGGTCCTCCCATGAAAATTTATCTCGCTCAATTTTGACCCAAATAAAAGTTGCTCTTACAATTTTGTTCCTACTGTCAAAAGGAGCATTTTCACAAGAGGAAATAAAATTCAAATTTCTTTCTCAGGAGGTCGGGATTTTGCACAAAATTGGTGGCCTCTAAGTGAACCGCACCATAGCTAGATATGATGTTGAATTGATATATGGTTATCTGTGCTATCTCTTTCTGCAATTTTTTTAATCTGGGGCTCAAATTATATCTATGCAATTCTCCAAATATCTTGGCAATCTTATCACTGCAAAACATGGGGGTTGTCTATATATAGTTATACAATGATATCTCATCAGGGTATGACACACTCTATCCCCAAACTGTCCAGCTTCACAGCTTCAAAGTTGTGTAGAAAACCCAGATACTATTACCTGAAACAGATATTACCCAAGCATTATTCACATATTATTTAGGATTTCATCAAAAAAATACGAGTTGATATTTTACTCAAAAGTGCAGTGTACAAGATTTATGCATTATGAGAAATTCAACTGTAACTCTCAGCCACGTCTTCATTCTGGCTTGCTACAACCACTCATCATAACAGAGCTAAGCTAATAAAAATAAAAATAAATTTAAAAAGGGGTCGTAGGAAGGCTCAGAGGAACCCAGAGGAGCTCGAAGGTAAATGACACTATCCATATATTTAATTGTCTCCAAAAGAACAAAAGCCAACTCAGACAGAAAACGAACATCAAACAGGTTCCCTGATGCCAACCTTATCTTGTCCATACTCAGCGGAAAATCTGCCCATATCAAGTTCACCACCATTATCCATGCGAGTAATATTTACTGCAATAGGGCGCATTGAGTAGGAGTTGCCCCCTACCTGACCTCTAATGATAGCCGGCTCTTGAGAGGCAAAAGATATTTGTTTTGAAGACTGCGTGTGACCTAACCCAACGCGGACATTGATTAGTGTATATGCAATTCCAGCCACTGGACTCCATGTATCCAGGATGGTGGAATGCAAATTGGTGTGTGACTGGTATGTGGCAAAGAAAAAGATGGACCAAAGCCTAGATGATTTATCAGAACAGCGTGTCCAAACTGGCCATATGAACATACGTGTAAAGGGCAGCACTTTCCACTAATGTAGCCAGGATTGGCTAAGCCAATGGTAAACATAAATTTGCTAATCGTAATTAAGTTTCAACTCACCAACAAGCTTCCCTGCGTATAACCATGGGTCCGTGAGGCCTTATTTGTCCTCCAAACTTTCCACGCAATCATCGCTATAAGAGTGAAGTTCAAGCCAACTAAGATGCTAAAGAAAGATAGATATGACCTGTACTGTAAATATTTGTACTGTGGTAGCATGAGAGTGTCAGGTCAGAATGATGTTGCACGTAAAAATGAATAAAGCATACCACAAAGTGAAAACACAATCACTAGTGACCCAACGTCCAGCTTGAGACATATAAAGCTTCTTCTCTATATGATACAGGGTAAGCTGGTACGTAGCTCCCACACCACAGACTAAGTGCAAAGGTGAGCTAACCTCAGACAAATATATACTATGAAACAAGCTCACCGGTGAGGCCCATAAGAGTAAAAAGAGGTAAAATGATCACAGACAGTTTATGATTCCAAATCAGCCATAGTCGGTAAATCTGTGTAGGGAACTCTGTAAATGTGACACAGATACCATCCGTTTGACATACGAGCATTGCATCACTGATACTGATGGTCGCCATTACAAATCCAGTTTTGACAACCTCTGTGGCTTGCGACAAGTCACCATAGAATGATAAAGGTGATGTTCCTCTTTCATATAATAAAAATGCTTGGAAAAGCCGCAGAAAGGTTATAATCCAGTGCTGCACATCAGGCTTTCAGATAGCAAGTCAAACATCAGAAGAGAAAAATACGAACAGTAGTAACGGTGATAAAGAGAAGTATGGTCCCCACGAAAATGGGCGATGTGAGGATTGACCTTCTGCTCTTGGCCGGATATTGCGTATATTGGGATCGGTGGCGAACGATCAAAAGAAACACTGATGACATGGACAAGACAAAGAATATACCATATAGAAAGCTTTCGATGCAAACCGCTGCAAGATTTGCCGAAACGAGAGATACTTCTTCAGCAGGCATTTCAAAAACTGCACTCTTCGGGTTGAGGGAGTAGGTTAGATATGGGCATTAGGCAACCTGGCATTAATAGGAACTAGCTCAACCTGTGACTAAATGCTAAGCAGTGATGCGGCACTTCCTGTGCAGGTATAATCTAAATTTAGCAGACATTGATCATTATACAAAGATTTGTACCCACTGGAAACTTCAGGATAAGAAAAGTTCTCCCTGGATCAAACACCATGCATTATGACTCAGAGACGCGGTGCTCCGCAGAAGTTGTTGGGTCTGAACCAATTCATCATCCCAGAATAATAATATACTTCTACCATAGAACTGACATTCACTATGGTCTCGAACCCAGACGTTATGGAAAGTGCCCCGCAGTTGATTCGACCTTCGACAATACAGAAACCGGTCGCCTATAACTAAGTAAATCGGTTTAAAGACAAAAGGGAAGCAGTGGCAGCAAGCATCACCCACATCAAAACCTTACAAGCTGTATCCAAAACTTTCACCGGTGTACACTGAATTTGAGACGAACCCATCAGGAGTATCAATTAGAGCTTGGACGGATGCCAGAAAAAATAGAGTGAAAGTCTATTGGAAATTCATGCCGCCACACCACATCGATCATTCATAAAATCAAAATACCCATAAACACTCCCATGTCCGACTCGGGAGTCGCCCGCACTGGCACTTGTTCACCCAACATGCTGAGCAGACCATTAATCAATATCAATCAGTCACTTGTGATTTGGGGTTGGGAATTTCATATTCTTCAGTGTGCCAACTTGGTGCGAACAGTGAATGATATGAGCAAAGACAACAGATAACCGGTGGTACAAAACACTGGCGTGGTAATCGCTGGATAAAGGACCAATCGATCACTGCCACTGAGGAAAATATTCCTTTGAATCTTTCGACTGCACTACATGGTTTATTGGTACATGATCATTATATCTTATCCAAACTTAGTACTTGAACTAATAACTCGATGGTAGAGTGGTACATCAATTTTAAAACTGAGATCAGACATAATCTCATTCTAACATCTACATCACTCAACAGCGCCCTGAGATAATGCATCTGTCCAGTTTTGCTTCGTTGAACAAGAAGCACCTACCGCCTCACGATACCATCGTCTCAATCGTGAAACTAGTTGATGGTTCACACAGCATATTTGAAATGAGTTACACAGCTCCTGCAACTTCGTTCTCTTAAGAGGATCTATGATAATCACGGGTACCGACGGTTGGTTTTCCGAGAACAGGCTAAAGTAGCCGGCACACAAGGAGAAATAGAGATACCCGTCCTTCGTATCACTCTCAGAATAATTATACAGGTGAACGACAAGCCACGGCCAGAACAGGCAAAAACTATTGATGAGTGAGAAGGGTCCCAGGCGGAAGCTGAGTTCGTGAGTTTCTTCGCAGCAGTTTCGAGGGTGGAGATGACGGCGTGAGTCAATGATGACCGAAGACCTCGCACATGCAACGCGTCGTCTGACAACTCCCAGTGGTTATAGTTATGTCTGCCCAATCACATTGACAGTTTGCGAAGAAAAATAAACAGCGAGCGACTGTCCCGAATGTTGTCAAGGATTCCAGCGTATGTTTGTATGCTCAGCAGTATTGTAGCTGGCACTGACATATTTCTCCTTAGCGTTCACATGTACATGTCAATGATGTACCTCTGATGCCCCATAAAGGGCGATTGACATAGAACATTCCAATGTGTATGTGATTCTTCCTCCATAGCTGGGAAAGATGTGCAAATACTGAGTAGTACACCTATATCGACATTTAGTATAGCTAGTCTCTCTATCCAGAAGACATTCGTCACGTTGCCGGTGCAATTGTTACAGCAATCCCTACTGGTGCCGCCATTGTCGTCAAATTCCCGATGTGGGGCAATCCAGGGTAATCCTGCCCAACCGGGAGCAGATACAAATCGTGTGTTGGGCTATAACAATTTTGATTTTTGAGGTGAGTTTCAAGTTTAACGGGGTTGTACATGTCAAGTCTTTTTTTAGATGCTGATCATCACGTCAGGTTGCATTACCCACCTTGGGGTTGCCAACCCAGGTGGATTTATCCAATGTCGATACCCAGTCGCAGTTGCCGCCCGGGCAGACGAAGAGAATGATGATCTGGTGGATAATGGAGGCTATGTCAACGAAAATCAGGTTCCGTTGATTGTATGAACTTTTAGGGTTTGCTGTACGGTGTACGGTGTTTTGGTGTGAATGGGATCAAACCCGATCTCAGGACAGGACATGAAACTTGCCATGATGAAGTTAACCTCATGCCTCTTGGCATGATGTGTAAGTCAGGGTTTAGGCACGATATGTGCCTAGATCAAGTTTCAGTGGTCTATGGTAATGTTGATGGCCACAGATCTGGGTTTGTTTGACGGTACAAATTCATTTGTTTGTAATACAAATAACATATACAGACGCGAATGCTTTCAAAGCATTCTCCAATCACGCTCCAAAAATCTCTTACAAGTGTTTGATGAAGAACTCAACGGTTGACTTGAATGCTCCCTCCTTGCCCTTCTTCACGTTGGGGTCACTCATATCGCCACGGACAGCAAACCCGTGGGTGCAACCGTCGAAGTACTCTCTCTGGTAACCAGGTTTGAACTTCCCGTCACCAAATATCTCATCGGCAGTGGTCTGGGAGGAGATCGGGAATTGACCATCGACTGTACAGGAGTTAATGAGAAGAGGTGCTTGAGAGGTAGCGAAATATTTCTACGGTGTCAAAGTAAGCATATGGATGGATGAGAGGCAATGAACGTATGTACCTCAAGGTCATCGGGAGATTTCAAAAGAGATGGGTGGGCGACAACGGAGACATGGATGATGTTTTCGAAGGCTAAATCGAATACATATCGGCCTAAACACGTAGGCAGACAAGAAGAAAAAGACACATGCATCAGTACTGGCTCGAATAAGGCAGGAGGGTACATTCAAACAACACCTACCTCCAAAACAGTATCCTGTTGCACCGAAGCGGGTGACACCTTGCTCTTTGAGAGCGGCAATGACACTGTCGAGGAGAGGCCTTGTCTGTTCAGCAGTGTGGTTGGTAAGCCACGTGCCAAAGTTAAAGCCCTAAGTAGCCTATCAGTAAAGTTGTTATATGGCAAAAAGGGAAAGGCTCACTGGTGTCTCCAAAGCGCTCTCGGGGACACCATCGCCACTTAAGTAGTCGGGTGCAATGACCTAAATGTTGTGCGAACTCATAAGTCATACTCTCAAGAACAATAATATATAGGGAATAACCTTGAATCCGTTCCTAGCAAAGTCATCGACCAGAAGCTATACCATAAATGAAGTACATGTTCATGACATCGCGCAGGAGTGATTAGAGGAAAGGAAGGCCTTACAAGGTTGTTTACGAGTTCCATACCAAAAGCATCGAAGAGGTAAAGAACGACTTTGTCTTTGGGGTAGTCTGTTGTGGGTGTACCGACGTAGCATTTGACACCACCGATGGTCTCATACTTTCCTGGTAACGACGCATTGTTTAATCACATATCACTACACTATTTCCGTATACCATATGGAACATACCTTCTGGAGTGCCTTCGTGGCGAACACCTAAAGTAACGAAAAAGATAAATTGGACGCACTGATATAACATATTACAACAAGCAACAGAGGACCAACCTTGAACGCAAGCTGCACAGAGACTCATTCTGTCGAAGATATTGGATCTGATTCGTGGGCTGACAATAAGTCGAAAGATAACTCTCAAGGATTAGGAGTTAGTTATAAAGGACGGATATTCTCATAACATCAGCCGTGCCGCGCACGTCAGCATCGATCATTTTCATGGATATATCGGCCTTATCGATATCAATGTATGACGATATCACCATAACAAAATATGTCAGACTATATCCTTCGCACTGAGTCAGACCGAGTGGTCACACGTACCCGAAAAAGGAAGCACTGTGCACATAAGGTGGACCTACTGCAGTGGTCAGCTATGTTGGACAATACTGCGTTTGCTATTACTTACACTAATTCCGTAATGAAAATCAATGATGCGGCTCGTGTAATCACCATTTGTAGCCGATATCTTCGTGAACTGGCCCATTGAATGATTCCGATCACAGTGGTTTGTGAAATCAGTTGTACTTAAGCTTAACTGCATCACCGATGCCAGCGGACTGGGTACCTATGCCGCCATCAGACGGCATCGGACTTGATGGGTTTTTGCGATGCCGGGATATACCGGTCGGCAAGCTCCCTGTAGTAATCTCACCCTATTCTTACCAAGAAACAGACCAGTCAAGCTTAAGTTCTTACGTGTTGAGAAGAACACACTTGACTTTCGACAATATACAAATACACGAATGGCCCACCCCCTTACTCACTATTTCATCGTTCTTCCCCCTCCTACTAAGCCTGTGTTCGTGCTCACAAATGCTTGACGAAGAACTCAACGGCAGACTTAAACGCACCCTCCTTGCCCTTCTTCACATTAGGGTCGCTCAAATCCCCACGAACAGAGAACCCATGCGCACACCCTTCAAAGAACTCCCTCTGGTACCCAGGCTTGAACTTGCCATTGCCAAAGATCTCGTCGGCAGTCGTCTGCGATGAGATCGGGAATTGCTCATCAACTGGGCAGGAGTTGATCAGGAGAGGAGCTTTCGAGGTAGCAAAGTATTTCTACAATATCAAGGTAAGCGTGTGAAAGGAGGGGTAACATAGATGCATGTACCTCAAGATCATCGGGCGATTTCAAGAGCGATGGGTGGTTTGCTACAGATACGTGGATGATATTCTCAAAGGCAAGGTTGAACACATATCGACCTGGGAATATAGATATCAGCACTCGGGAACATGAACATCAATATTAAATCTACGTACCTCCGAAACAATAACCAGTCGCACCGAAACGAGTTACACCTTGCTCTTTGAGAGCTGCGATGACGCTGTCGAGAGGAGGTCTTGTCTTGTCGGATCCGTGATTTTGGAACCACTTGCCAATATCATACCCCTAAATTGGTGAAGTGGGTCAGTAGGTAAATGGGAGAAAAACAACAAAAAAATGATATGTACTGTGCTGAAGGCATCTGCGGGGACATTATCGCCGTTGAGATAATCAGGTGCCACAACCTACAAATCACATTTACTAAGGTTTCTCTCATTTACAGTATAAAGGGAGCAAACCTTGAATCCGTTCCTAGCGAAGTCGTCGACTAAGAGCTACATCACAAGTGACAAGTATTGTTATCAGTGAGAACGCTACATAAGTCCGTAGGAAGGCGGAAAAAACATACGAGTGAATTGGGGAGATCGATACCAAATACATCAAATAGGAAGAGGACGACTTTGTCTTTGGGATAGTCAACTGTGGGTGTACCGACGTAGCATTTGACCCCGCCTATTGTCTCAAACTTGCCTGATAACGGAGCCATTGTCGATCAGGTAACCTTATAACCTTTGCAACCGAGATGAACTAACCTTCTGGAGTGCCTTCATGACGAACACCTATATGTTGTAACGAGACGTTGGATAACGTTGCGGTTTCGGCTGATAGGAGTAGGAAGGAACTAACCTTGAACACAGGCAGCGCAGAAACTCATTTTGGTAGTAGAATAGGAATACCGATGAAAAGTGGGTACAAGTCGTGGTCTGAGTAAAGCAGGCCTAGAGAGGATAGGAGTGAAAGCCTTTGAGAACAAAATGGTGAGAGTGAAGACAATATACACACGACGGAGGAAGTATATAAACCACGGATACTCCCAGCCCTGGGGTATGTGTGTCATCCTGTAATGAATTTCTATATATTGGTCCCACACATGACACCATCGCAATTACAAAAATAGTTCAACTTGATCGACAGCTACTGGTCCCACTTCCTCACACATACTGTAACTCATCGAAAGGACCGTTTCGGGGGATATATCTAAAGTGGGACACTGATCCGTAATAGTTTATCATACCCCTATTATTTGGTATTAGCTTATACCACACCGATCAACTCGTATTACAAATGCTTGACGAAGAACTCAACCGCCGCCTTGAATGTACCCTCCGGGGTCACTCAAATCTCCACGGACAGCGAATTCATGCGTGCATCCTTGAAAAAATTCTCTCTGGTACCCTGGCTTGAATTTATCGTCGCCAAGACCTCGTCGGCAGCAACTTGGTAAAAGGTAGGGAATTGTTCATCGATTGGGTATGAATTGATAAGGAGGGCAACATGTGAAGTTGCAAAATATTTCTGTAGGGAAAGCGGGTTAGGTGTGCGGATGAGCTGGTGATTATCTACAAGAGTGAAAAGGGTGTACATACCTCAAAATCTTCAGGAGATTGCAAAAGCCAAGGGTGATTAGCGACAGATACGTGAATGGTGTGCTCAAAGGCAAGATTGAACACGTATCGACCTAACCATGTCGAGAAAAAGGAGGGAATAAGGAAATTAGATATGAACGCCGTACATCAGCATCGAAACCCTCATACACAAGAAATCGAAAGTGCCTACCTCCGAAACAATATCCCGTCGCACCGAAGCGAGTCACACCTTGCTCTTTCAGAGCTGTGATAATGCTGTCGAAGGGTGGTCTCGTCTGTTCCGGGCCGTGATTGACAAGCCATGTCAAAGTCCTTCAATGTCATGGGAGGTCAATAAGCGGATCAGAGAGATATAAATAAATAAATCATGCACTTGTCTTGAAGTATTTTCAGGGATACCGTCGCCATTGAGATAATCCAGTGCGATAGTCTATAATATTGTACCGCTCAGTACGCCGCACTCAAAAGAGGAAGTCTGATCAATAGAACCTTGAACCCGTTTCTAGCAAAGCTATATAGGTAGTAGATGAAGTTGTTATGAAGACCATGAAATAGAACATACCAGAACGAAGAAGTGACATACCAGTGCGTTGGGAAGATTTATACCAAATACATCGGTGAGGAAGAGAATGACTGTATCCCTTGGATACGCTGTTGAAGGGGTACCGACATAGCAATTGATACCACCGACAGTCTCAAACTTTCCTGGGATGCAGCATTGAACTACATAGGTTTGTAAAGGCAATTACAATACAAACCTTCGGGAGTGCCTTCGTGACGAACACCTGTAAACAAGATTATCATCAGACCATGATACCAGCAATCGAATGAATAATGGACCGACCATGAATACAAGCCTTACAGAGCCTCATTTTATCGGTAATACTTACCAAGGATCCTGATAGACTGGACAGTGACCTAACGAAAAGAGGTAACACTAGGTAATGATATCCAAATGGCGTGGAAGCCATGCTTGTTATATATCATTATATACACCAGCCTTTTTGAAGCAGCAGCACCATTACAAACAGAAGGTTTCCGATTTACGCGAACCATTCAAAACTTCACCGAACCAGGGGAAGGAGCATATAAATCGGGAAGATAATATTTCCACGCACAGGAAGTGTCATAGGTCTCTACTAGGAAGCTAGCCAAACTTGCCAGTCCCCCCCACTTGATCACGACACCCATCACCGGGTCTATCATGTAGTCAGTAATGTATGTATCGATAAACCGAATATGTGCGAACCTTGCGTGTTACGTGAGGCACCCTGCCATATGTTAAGGCCCATAACCACTGTTATACTTCCAGTAGCGACTGTCCATCTGTTTCACTGGGATGCGGTACTTGTGAACTCAGCGCCTTTGAGAAACTCGACAGTTTGAAACTGCCAGTGCCGCCACTTAAGTCAGAAGAATACGTCCCTTTTTGTGATCGGACGTTAACACGATCATGAAGAGGGTGCATCACATCGAGTCCGACGGCCATCATGCTTCTGTCCACATTTCAAAGTTGCTGGGCGCTTGAGAAGTTACGCACGAACGAATAGCACCTCGATATTCGAGATTGCTTACTGCTCCTCGTATACATATGCAGGTTCAACCACAGCAGGGCAGAAGTACAAATATGAAATTCATATAATCATACCAGTGAATCTGAGCGAAAAGAAACAATTCCAAGTAAATCGGACTTTACCGAGTCCTCTTGCGCTTCCGCCCTACGACATGTTCCCGCGCTCATGGCAAGGAAAGCTGAGTCCACTGCTCAGAGACCTTGGTATTGGTGGTCTTCATGTACGTATCAAATCCACCAATATCTTGAGTAATACATCTTCGTCGCCGAAGAGCGCTAAAGAAAGTCATCTGGACAGGTTGTGAACTTCGCATGCGCTGTGCACCTCTTTCAAGAATATGTCGGGAGTCCATGTTGGGTGCGTAAACAGCTATTTAGCTTACTACTACATTAGCTCAGAACAAAACTCAATGTAGATGGAAGGCCCATCCATGTTACCCACCCTAGCAGCCAGCGGTCAAGTCGTCTTCGAGCGCATGGTCCCCCACCGTCTCCTCTCTGACCGAATCTCGCGGGGCGACCTCGTCACATTCAGATCACCCATCAACCCCTCTCGCATCGTCTGCAAACGGCTCATTGGACTCCCCGGCGATGTCATCTGCGTCGACCCGTCTGGCCTGAAAGCGCCCTCGACGGAGCATGTCATCATACCCAAGGGTCATGTTTGGCTTGCAGGAGACAATGCTGCCGTTTCAACTGACTCGCGCGATTATGGACCAGTCTCTATGGCGTTAATCAGAGGAAGGATAACTGCGATCGTGGGTTTCATGCTACGAATGGTGTTCTGGATTATAATGACGCGTGGTGTCCCAGATATCTCCCAGGAGCGACTTCAAAGTCTTCAAGCGAGGTACTGGTGTCGAATTCATAGACGCATGACCTGCATTAACAGCGGCGTATGGCGACGTACTTCCTGTGAGATCCTACGATATTTTGAATTCCGGTCCATTCAGGCTCCTCGTTACTTTAAACTGAACGGTAATTTGGCCTTCTTCCTTGCTTCTTACCCACACCATCCCACACGTATTCACACAATACACACATGCTGCGCCTAAATATATTATATTATCATGCGTGGCGCTAGTTACATCGAAGGAGAAAATATGTAAAGATTAAAACGAAGGGGAGTGTACATCAGCATACAGCCGCAGTTGAAAGGTAAAATATAGCCTTCTTCACAAACAACGATCCCTTATAAACAGTCTTCCAACTGACTAGATACACAGCGCGTGCAGTGTACATGGTTTGTAAAATATTACAACATGGTGCATTACATCTGCACAAGGAAAATAAACGCATGAGTATGATTGTTTGGCGTGGGAAGGCTGTGAATAAGGCTTACCAGCCACGCCCAGAATGCCTCGAATTTGTTCTTTGGTGGAGGCTCGTCGTAGGTGTCTGCTTCGATCTCGGCAAGGCCGCTCTCGAAGTCCATGTCGTCCGCTGAAACTGGCCCCACGCGGTAATACAGTCGCGAGCTGATGTATAGGACAGGGAAAAGGGCAAAGGGAAGATAGTTGGTGACAAACGTCGCAGTATTCCACTGGTCTTTAAGGAATACAGTCCAGCCGCTGAACTAGATATACCCAGTGACGTCAGCATAAAATAAAGTGTTGAGACAACTATACCACTACTCACGAAACAGATGACAATGCACGATATGCAGGCATACCAAGCGGCGTATGGCTGGAGTCGAGACGAGTATGGGAGCTTACTGCGATCGTAACCTTGACGAGTGATACCTTTGTAGAATCGAAGGTAGGTGACGGTGATACCGAACCATGTCATGAGACCAGCAACGGACGTCATGTTAGAGAACCAGGTAAAGACTTTGCCTGAACCTGAGTTGACACCCATGAACGCGAGGAGCGAGAACATCGCGCAGAAAATGACTGAGACGTAAGGCAGACCCCGCTTGGACGTCTTCATGAAGATCTTGGGCGCATTACCAGCAGAAGCGAGACCGTCTGTGGTGGATGATACCGTTTAACATCTGGAGTGAACTGAAAGAACATAAATCTGCCTACAGAGAGCACGAGATGATGTATACAGATCACTGGATGCAGCAGACCAAGCTGAAGTAAGCAGACACGCGTTGATGATCTATCAAAAATGTTACCAAATCCCTTATGATAAAGCGTTATTGCAACCTACCGAAGGTAACGCCTTAATGCCGGCTATCTCGATAGCGATCACAAATGGCGAGGCCGCAGCCGTACCTGATCCCGCACCAGACAGGTTCAAAAGAGGATTGTTCGACGGCACAAGCAGGCCAATTATGAACGTCCCGAGGATGTAGAATAAGAGGATACGAATATAGACCCTACGAATCGCTTTGGGCAAATTACGGCGTGGGTTTTTGGCCTCTCCAGCTGCGATCTAGAAAAGGAAAAGTTAAGTCGTTTCATGAAACTGAGACTACGAAAAAACGTACAGCAACGATCTCAGTACCAATAAATGAGAAGGCAGCCTGAGTCATGACAGCCCACCAGCCAAGGAACCGTCCTTCACTTCCTGAAATGCCGTTGTACTGAACGAATGGTCCTGGGTTTTTCCAGTACCGGAAACCAATACGATCATGATCAGGACCTCCTCCGAGGTCAATTACAATACCCAAAATGATCAGACCAGTGATAGTAATGACCTTGATGGAGCTATACCGGTGCATCAGAAGAGGCGGAGATGAAAAGAGGGCAATTTGCTAGACGTACGCAAAGATAAACTCAGCTTCTCCATATACACCTGCTCCACACATGTTGATCGTTACAACGACGACGAGGCAAATAGCAATCCAGGCAGAGTTATTGATAGACTGATTCCAATAGTTGATAAGAACAGCTGCTGCGGATAGTTCGGCTGAAAATAAATGCAATCAGTTGCTATTCCTTAACAGACATTATCTGTCATTCATACCAGGTGCTGTGGGAAAAGATTAGCACGTCAGCATTCAAGGAGAAGAAAGCTCGTACAAATGATTGTCCAGTTATACCAGTAATTCCATCCCATTGCAAAGGACCAGGCAGGGTCTACGAAACGCTCTGCAAGTTTAATGTGACCTCCTGGTATAGGGAGGTAGGCAATCATCTCGCCAAGGGAAATCTGACAGAGACATCAGAGGAGAGTGTGAGGGGTGACGAAAATCGTACCATGACACTGTAACATATCGAACCAACAACAGCGTAACCTAAGAGGAGACCAAGAGGGCCACCCCACCGTAGAGCGTTGGCGGTACCCAAGAAGAGACCCGTTCCAATGACACCACCGATACTAAAGGAATGTCAGTCACAGGTAGGGGAAAGAAGGGGAAAAGCAAACATACCTGATCATGGCGATGTGCCTGTTTTTCAGCTGACGTTTGAGAGGAGGCTCTCCGCCATGCAGAGAGGAGTCGTCCGATGCATATTCTACGTTTTTTTCGTAGGGCGGGACAGACTTTTCGGTCTCCACTGAAGCCATGATCACGGTGAAGGGGGGAATGGAGAGGATAGTGATAGGTTAATAATGCGGGATATATAATAGCGCACGGCGCTTAAAGAGACAGCATGATAGTATGGTGTGGAGTCGGTGCCTGATAAGGCCTGATTGACCAAAACCGTAGCGACAGTGATAACGATAGTTCATTTCATGTCAGGCTGGAAAATGATGTATTGCGCTGAGCTACCCGAGCCAACAGAAAAATCATATATTGCTTGAGAGGATAACGAGCTATGTTGGACTGCATGTTTTATTTTTCTTTCTGGTTTTCTCTCCCTTTCCTCGACCACATGTATCATCGTACGGAGAATCGCGACCGGTGGATATCGCTGGCCGGACACCGCAATAAGCACTGCCCGTGACTATGTAACACGCCCTAATAGAGCCAAGACTACAAACACGTGTAAATATCGGCTCTTCTCCTTTCACCGAGGCTGCATCGCGCTCTTCGAAACCACCGCCATCAGCACAATTTTTAGGTGCAAGATGTGGATTGGGTTCTGCTCCATGACCAAGGACTGGTGCCAACTCGATCCACTCTAACGCGTCGCATATGTTGTGAACGACATATGCAACACACCTTTATCTCTTACAATCTCAGCTTCAGGAACACGGAAACATTTTCAATTCCTCTTTTCAGTCGAGGTGGAGATTGTGCCTGTCTCAAATTTGACTGTCTCCATCACGTCTCGTGACCCTATGTGTTCAGCGAGTTGTTATCCGCAGCTATAGCCAAGCTCTAGCTCCCATATGATGTCTCCCCCTCAACAAACTAGCACAACTGAAGGCTTCACGCGAAGCAGCTATCACAGCGATCATTGTTAACCTGATGGTAGGTTGTTATCATTTCAATGGATATTATGATATTACCAGATAAGACCCATGCGATTTCCAAGTCTGCTATGTGTAAGTACTAACTTCCCGAGGCTGGCGGATACAATCCAGGTGAGTAACCAGTAATGAAATATCTAAGATCACTACAACCATTTAGGCTGTGACAGGAATTATGATTGCACATTGCACCGTCATAGCATTGTAAGGCATACACTACCTCTTTCTGACCAATATTCGGCCTTTCTGATCAGACAATGATTGGTTGTATAGGAGATGGCTGCTTAAACATGCTGTGATTTCGAAGTTATTTGATTCGTGTTATTGCGCTGCCCACACAGTTGGAAGCACTTAGGTCTGTGTAGGCTTGCCTGACGTTGACATTGCCGTGCTGCTTCTAGCTCAATCGCATCAAATCCGCAAGTACAAGTACGTACTGGTACCACTAGTCTGGCCATCTGGCCGACTCCTATCACAGACTCCACTTAACCCACAATTCGCATCACCAATGAACCACAGAGCGGAGTACTAGTGCCCTCGAGTGGTTCATAGATTTCCTCGAAAAGTTAGCTCCGCTCGTGTTCTGCTTCCTTACCAGTACAAACCTTTCTGATAAGACCCTACGCGGAACTACTGTCACAAACATACGTCAAGGGACAAAAGGCTGTTTTTGCTAATTGACAGCTAGCTCTATAAGGCTATTTAGTCTCTTCAAGGCAAGGGGTGCCGATGTGTCATAGCTGTGTCCCAGGGCGGCATCAGAAATGTATCCTATAACTATGAGCGTCTGATTGAGTATTACAGAGGGTACTCTCACTGGGATGCTTCTTTGTCTTGTCTTCCAAAAACTGGGTTTCTACCTAAGGGCTTTAGTTGGTGCACACAGATAATCCAACACAAGATACATCGCAAAGCATCTCTTGCAGGCACTGTATACAGATTTTGCGAAGTCCTCCAAAGTCTACCCTAATCTTCATTGGAGACGTGGGTGATTCTATGCTTCTTCTGACGGTATTAAAAACTTGCATGATAGGAGTATTTGATTTGCAATTGGGCCCAAGCCTATGTTCGGTCCGAAGATAGCGAGTATTTCAGGATCTTCAAGATCACTTCAGCGCGGAACTCAAATTAACGAACACCGGAGGAACCTATTAGAGCAAGTGTGAACGCGATAGCATAAGTGTTCAATGATGAGAAGCCAGTGATGTTCGTTTCACCACTAGCAGCCACGCAGGCAAGGTTCCCACAGTACCATTCTCCTCCCACCTGATTAAGGCCTGGTTACTTGCAAGGAACTCCTCTGTTCCTTCATTCTCCCAGTCGGCTCCCCGCTGGTAATGTAACGGTATCGCAGTTTCATTGAGCGGTTGCTATATTTATGTCGTTTAACGGCAAAATCTGAATATTAGAATCATGGTCTGCTCTGAACGCAATCTTCCCTGTAGCTTCCGAGAAAGCGCAAGGCATGCAAGACCCTTGTGTACCCGGATACCTAGTCAGACATCAACAACCCAATAGACACTGACAAAACAACTGACCTGGTGTGATCGATGGCAATCTCAAAATCATCCGACCATTTAGATGCAGAGCTCCGCGCGTCTGCCTATCTACCACTCCAAGGTTCGAGCCGACAGTGATGCCATCGCCTACAGCTGATTTATCCTCGTTATCAGTGCGCACAGAAAACGCAACCAGAAGGCGTTCATGAGAGTGTTGCAACCTCTCTATCCAAAGTCCTCGGCATCCCTGACTGCTGAGATAGTGATATTCAATAAATCTACCTGGCTCGAAGACGGTTGGCTGTGGAGGTCTACTATCGTCAGGAGGGAACAAAGGGTTTGTGTTGAGGGTGTCTCCACCATGAGTCGCATAAGACAAGGTGTCGATGCAGTTAACGGAAAGCGACGGAGTGGGCGACAGATCTAGAATTATTCTGTATAGATACAAGCCTTTGCCGCAGTCATAGCAAACAAGGGACATCCTGTAAGTTTTCGAGTGATTGGAAGGAACGGAGGAGCGAATGGGTTGAGGCCAGGGGTTGGATATTGAGACGTCTGTGAAGTGGAGGTCTCGTAATTTGTGCACGAGTATAGGTACTTGCGGGAGTTGCGATGAATCCATGGATTCAAGGAAAGGTCGCAGGTCGTACACGGAGATAGAAGAGGACCGCAAACACAGGACATAAGGCCAAACAAACTTTAACTTCCGAACATATCCGCTACGATCATCGAGCTTGCGAGAGAGTGGACTAGAGGTGGGTATAGATACTCTCTCGGTGAATTGACCGGTGAAAAAATCGAGCATTTTATAGCAAGTTTGGGTGCGCCAATTGGAGATATAAATTTCCGTCGCGCGTGAAAGTAGCGCCATTTCAGCTTCTACATTGATGTCGTGGAAGTCGTGGATGTCGTGGATCCTGGTGTCCATGGTAGTGATCAACTGGAACGCAGGACTAGCTTTCTCCTCCGAAGAGGTGAGCAGAAACGGCCCTATGGTAGCAGATAGAATCGCAGTTCGACTGGCGGATAAATAGTTGATATCAATGATATCAATATCTATATACTGAGCGCATGATCGACGGACAGGTAACTCACCCAGAATTGGATATAATCCCAATAAAAACAGTAGAGTTAACTGCGCCAACGGCAGTGACACAAGAGTATATTCCTTCCGCAAAAATATAATTACCACATTCTCCCCCATGAGAAGAAAAGTCCAGACACCGTGTATCCCAGATAAAAACTTCACCATTCCGGTACGCGGCAAGCACATAATCGTCGAAGACAAATTCCAAATGTATCATCCAGTTGTAGCGACCGGCGCGTGATGGAATAACATTTCGTGCTGATGGATTGAATTCTCTGGGAACCACAGACGTTCTGTGTTAAGAACAGATAAGAATATCCGCTCGATTTCTGTAGATGTCAAAGCATCCAAGTCATGAGCTAAACGCGGAAGGGGCAGAAACGTTTGCATCCAGCACAGTAGGTCAAACCATAGAGTTCGTTCATGGCTGTAGTGAAATAGGAAATGACATGTCTGAAAGTGCGGTACCAGATATCAGTGGACAAATTTTCAAAAGGATTAAAAACATAAAACCTTGCGTAACGAAATGATATCTGCCGTATTGAGATTGGTAGCGATGATCAAGAAGAGCTCGAGAGGCAGATCCAGCATCGTGGAAGTGTCTTCAGAGGTGTAAGACTGATTATGGAAGGACTCGGCGAAGTACAGTCAACTCCCTCATAACCCATACCTGTCGGGATAGCCTGGGAGGTATGGGTTATCAGGGAGTATGGGTTTCTCGAGAGGTCCTGTGTAACTGCGCAAAAAGTACTTTAATTCGTACCGAGCTATATTAGCGTTGTGAAAGTAATTGTAAAGCTATTCAAAATGAAAATAATCAGTCACTTTGGTATCTTTGAAGCCCTGCATCTCGACGGCACGAGTTCTCTGTCCAAACGAACCTAGCATCACCTCCAGTTTGCGGGCGAATGCATCGTCACTGGTCCCAACGTACTTGCGCAGGACTAGTGCTGCTTGTAGTGCCTCATTCCGCGTTGGTCCAGGTGCGAATATGTCGCCGTCATCGCCGTCGTCATTTCCAGTCTCCCTCAAGATTTTTGCGTCCATCACAGACTTGCAAATTTCTTCGTCCGTTGCATTAAAAATGTTGTGGGACTCGAATGCCGGATTAAGAAGTTCTGCGACGGCCATGCGATTGGAACGCTGAAGGGCCCCGGTTGCCTCGAGTTTATCTAAGGCATTTTCGACGAGTGTCTCAGAATGTGCGATAGGGTTGATTACAATGTCTGGTGTGTGGACAAGGGATGAGATTGGAACAGTAGGTTGCGCGCGAGATGGTGGCGAGTCGGGTAGAATACCAGCCTTTGTCCAGCAATTCCAGATGGTAGTTGTGTCCACCCTATAATAAAACTAAGTGAAACTCAGCCGCTGCCCGAGAGGCTATAGAAACGACTTTATTATTTACCTAAGTGAAACTACAATGGATGTTAGTTTAAGGTGATCTCTAATAAATGTAATGTAACATACCTCAGCCGCTGCCCGAGAGGCTATAGTAACGACTGAGGTATTTCTATACTAAACCCCCTACTATTTATAGTCAGAGGTGCTACTCGCTATAGTATAATGACTCCTAGGAGAACAATGGTGACTCCATGGAGAACAATGGCTGCTTCGGCAGGGACTGGGTTTATCCGGTTTTGTCAGTTGTGTCCACCCTATTCCATGCATCTTGAGCGAGCCGCATAGCTTCGAGTTGGTCAATGTTATAAATTTTGGAGGGTGTGACATCAGTGTTGTAGTGATCAATTGTGTGACTGATGAACTGGGCATGGTAATGGGCCTTGAAACAGTGAATAATGCCTTGATCATTGGGCTGTACGTGTGCGGTGAGATTCGGTTCAAAGTTTTCAACTTCAATGTTTGTGAGGGAATTGGGCACGACGTGCCCCAAAAAATTGTCCTGTAAAAGAAGAATATTCCTCCTCTCATCTCGCAATGTCCGATCCCAATCCAACAACCATTCCTGATAAAGCGTGGCTGTCATCCATGTCTTAGCATTGTTCCGATAGTTGAACCCAAGCTGTTTGCCAGTCTTGTTCCCGAACGGACAAGGCTTGTATGCTTTTCCAATGATTAGCGGAAGCAATTTTGTCGAGCCATCCGCATTTGCTACAAACAAATAGGTCAGCCGTTTTTTCTGTCCTTTAACACCTGACTGCTGCTTGTCTGAAAGTCCACGGTCTGGAGGCATGCTAGTCCAAGTCGTCAGAGACTTGCCACTGTAACTTGTTTAAAAACAAACTTACGCATAGAATAACGATGATTCATCTGCGTTGAAGATGTCTCGTGGCTGATAACCATGCTTTTTGATGACCTCTTGCATGCGCTGTTGTTCCTTATCAACAGCCTCAGAGGTTGCTGAAGCAGCCTCGCCGTGGCACTTTATTTGCTTCAATCCAGCCCTTGCCTTGTACTGACTCAACCACCCTTCACTAAGGTTCAATTGCTCATCATCTAGCATGCCAACTAAGTCCACAAATTTTCTCCATTTTTGGCGAAGAACTTCTCCAGTGAGAAGAATCCCATCGGCCATTGCCTTCGAAACCCACAGATCCAACATTTCTGTGACGTCAGGGTGCTGAGTTTGGCGGGTTTGTTTTACTGATTGAGTGGAGCCTGTGCTCTGCTCATATTCTTCTCGCCATTTGTCTTCATTCTTGCACCAGGCAGATATTTTCAGCTGTTTAAGTTGAAGGTTTGGATAAATTGTGTTAAAATGTTTTGCAGTTCGACTTTGATTGTTTCCATTGGCATGGTGCCAATTAAGGATTTCAATCCGCTGTTTTAGTGTGGCATTTTCCTTTCCCGTAAATGCTGCAACCTTTGACTGGTTGTCACCGAATGTTTTTGCAGCAACAGAAGGTTCAGGACCTGCAAATGGACTTAGCACGGTTCATTAATTTCAGGAATGACATATGCTTGCGGTTCTTTGAAGGGGCATCACTCTTTTCACCACTTCCGGTGTAAGATCTAATCCCTTTTGCCGAATTAACGGAGGGACAAGTTCTCAATCAACAAGTAGCGTTCAAGTATGGTATATAGAAGTAATCAACAACTGAGGAAAAGTATGTACATGAGTGTTCAGTATATATATGTTTCTGAAGGTCAGCCATGAGGCGCTGACTGATGTTCTACGTCATGGTCTGGATTCTGTCACGTGATTGTCACGTGACTAGATATAACTAGGTATTTGTGTTATCCGCGCTAATAGCAGCAGCTTAACAACTTATGTCTGTCATGTGATCAGGTATCAAAGAAAATGAAGAAAGAAATTAGCGCTTTAACTAGCGCTCTTGCTCAAGTCGTGACATCCGGCAAGGTTCTTCAACTTCTCCACAATGGATTTGTCGTGTGAATCAAGCCTCTTGAGCCCTCGCTTGTAGTCCGATGCATAATCCAATATGTCAACAACTCATTCTTCGTCCACAAGGTTTCCATCATTATCCAACCACTCTTGGTCAATGTCTGATATTGGTTGACTGGCCTTTAACTTGTCTTCAAGCTGTGTCTTCCGCTTCTGTATCTGATGTTGAAGCTTTGATAAACCTCTTTTTAGGAACTCAACAGGCGTGGGTTTCATACTGGATGATGTTATGGCTCAATGTTGCAAAACAATTATTTAAAAACTAGGGGTCATTGCAAGGCGCCAACTCTGACCTTGCTTGCTTACATAACACGACACACATTACATTCGCATTACATTCACATTACATTCGCATTACATTCACATTACATTCGCATTACATTCACATTACATTCGCATTACATTCACATTACATTCGCATTACATTCACATTACATTCACATTACATTCACATTTAGTACGCCTACTCCTCTTTTGTCTCCTTTTTTGCGATGTACTTAGTGATGTAGAATAACTCTTCATGTTCTTCAAAATATTTGACTGTACGGTTATTTGCAGCAAGTCAGTGGATGTCTTCAGGTAGATTTAGCATAGTTATTCATGATGCTTGGCTAGCATTACTGGATGCGTTACTGGATGCGTTACTCTACTGTTACTCTAGCATTACTGATGAGGGAGATTGAGACACACAGAACATTACAATATTTTGTTTGTGTATGTTAAATTTGACAGAATTGTGGCTTGAGTGACATGGCATATGACCTTGCAAGCAAGGTAATATATATGGATTATATAATTAAATTTCCCATTTTGGTGTAACTCAGCATTTTCCGACCCTAGGTATGGGTTATGATTGTCCAAAATTGCTATGGGTTATAACCTATGGATTCCCCGCATACCAACTTGGGAAATCCAAAAACCTATGGCCTATTGGGGAGTATGGGTTATACCTCCTATGGGTTATGAGGGAGTTGACTGTATTCCTCAACACAACGACAAGTGCATTAAAGTTCACTTTGCATGCTGGCTTGTTTTGACAAGCTGGGCAAAATGGCCTGGGTGGCTGAATCCCAGTGAAAAGTCATTCTTGTGTTTCTAAGATTGACGAGGCACAAGGCGATCGTAGAAAATAGTCTATGTGGGAGAAGTGAGGTGGCGCGGTCCTCTTCGTCTGCTACCACATCATTCTGACTCTTAGTACAGTGACAATTTCCTGTATTTCAGAAATATTCTTCGCATTTATCTACAGACAAGTACAGTATCCTATGCCTTTGATCCTGAATGACCCAAACACTGCGGTGGCTCCTGATTTCACCAGAGAAGAATACCAAGAAGCAAGAACTGAGCTATCAAATGAACTCATTGATGATGCGCTGGCAGCAAGAATTTTGACTAACCTGTGGAGCGTTGCCAACAACAAGGACAAGGTAGCATGGGCCCAGCAGAGAGAAGAGGAGATCTTGGTAGCAGACAGAGAGCACCAACAGCTAGAAAAAGAAGTCGTCATGCGCCTCGCAGATGAACAAAACGTGGCACGTAGAGAGGAATGCAAAAAGAACAAGTCAAAGTACGCACCAGTTAGAGACATTGACGTCCCTTCAGACCCGGTTATTATCCCATTGCAGTACACTACTAGGAAAATGAAGGCAGGGGAGTATTGCGAGCTCCATTATTTCACCAATAGAGGGCTTGAAAAAGCATCACACTCATTGCTTACTACAGATGCAGAAGTGCTAGTAATGCTAACTTCAGTTAACGGGGTCCACACATGGGTGCCTGTGGGTGCCATGAAAGATACAAAAACCCCAGTCACGAAGGACAAAAACCTAACTTGGGAACAATTTAATGGGTCAGCACCAAGGATGGTGTCATCCATGTAGGAACATGATTGGCTGGAGGACAGAATAAGTATGCACCTACAGTTCTGGTCCACGCTCCAAACACACGCATGGAGATATTCTTTCGACCCTCTGCAGCAACGCGCACTTCTGCTTTACCAAGCACAGCAGCGAAAGAGATGGCATCTCACCATAGGATCCTCCCAGGGATGGAGTCTAGCAAGAATCAATGACAAACTCCTCCTTACAGCTCAAGAGGATTTATTTAACGAACAGTGAACAATGTTAATGGCTACAGTATTACAGGTATGTGATTAGAAAGAAAATTACTGAGCACATCTAAAAAACGGCTACCCTTTATGCATGTCTAAAAATTAAAAATAAAAAAAAACTCTTTTTGTACAAATACTGCATTGCGCAACCTTTCCCGGCTGGCATCACGTCCACCTTTCCTCTACAACCCAATTGCGGGTTCACTATGAATTGGCCATTGCGCACCTTGTGACAACTGACATGACCAATCACGTGTTGGAAATAAGCAGCTTCACAGAGAAAGCTCGAACACTCATCGCGAGTGTTACAATTGACATACCAGCACCTACTTATGCTTCACTTTTTGTACTTTTACTTTTCATTTTCCAAGTCACATGATTGATCATGTGACCATTTACTTTACTTTACATTTTCGGACTTTTCATAGTCACATGACCATCATGTGACCAGTTACATGCTAGACATTGGACTTTAAACTTTATTTACAACTGTACAGTACCTCATGTATTTTAGTATATATACAGGAGCAATACATGGGGAAGGACTCAGCAAGTCCTCCTGTTGTCTAGCACAACTAACTTGTTGAAACCTAAGGGGTGATCCCTTTCTTCTCTCTTCTCTCTTTTGCTTGTCTGAGTTGTGCACCAAAGTAAGAAACTTTTGGTTGTTACAGATCTCTCAGTTCCAGCTGGCAAGTATTACTTGGCCGATGCTGGATTTTATATGGGAGACTCTGGGGATCAGCCAGCTACTTAAAGCCAGGAATTTTTGTATGTTGGACATAATGAAGTGGCTGAAAGTACATATGTGGGAGGATTACCAACATGAACTGCAACAAAGGGCTCAATAAATCTTATCAGTATGCACTAGATAATATCTTGATTTTCCTTGTTTTTTTCAGATGCAAGTCAAGCAAAGAATTTGTAATTCATGATTCACAATATGGGACATTAAAAATAAGCCTTTTTGGCAAGGATACAGCAATAAGATGGCTATGTGATAAGACATATGTGCGACACTTTCAGTCAGAGCCCCAGTTTCTGACAGATCCAGATCCTGCGCACTTGTTTGAGCTCCTGAGATGTATTGAGCTCAAGGTACCCTTCAACAACATCCAGCAAATTCTGCAACAAACAAATAAATGCAAAAAGTTGGTCTGAGGGCATGTCACATTCAAGCCTTTGGGCCTGCTTTGTGGTTATGGAACATGGAACTGGGGTGGGGGTGGGGCATCAGGAAAACATGACTTAGATATAAATGCAATAAATTGCAAAATATATGCTATAATAGCAAAAATATCTGTTATATTTATAAGTGTGATTCTTGCACAGTCCCCTACTCTAAATGCATAAATATCAATAAATATCAGTTTAGAGTATTGCTATATCATAAAAAGTGGTTTATAGTACAGTTGTTAAAATAAAAATGACCTTGCAATTTTATTGATCCATACTCTATCATATTTAAGAAAAGCACTAATAAAGCAAATTATATTGGTTTCTAAAAATGCTGCAGCAGTAATATTTATAAAAATGATTTTCATGCTTTTGCTGCTTCCTCTAAAGCATCAAAATCAAATATAAGCTCAGAAACATCAGATTACCCCACTGTTATACAACCATTCTTATCCAGAAAAAGTGGCTGTCTTGATGCGCAGGAAAGTATTACAATCAGAGTTTAAACATCTCAAAAGTGGTTCAGATTTGGCTTCAAGAATGAATTCAAGCTGGCTAACTCAGCCAAAAACTTGGCATACAGAAAATATACTAGACATATGTCCCACATTTTTACTTAACAATTGGACTAGCAAGTTTGCATATTAAACAGTCTGGTAGTATTAGTAGTGGATAAAATATCATTTTTTATTACATGTATAGATCACTATAGGCCACTATAAATCAATATAAATCAATATAATGCACATTTTGCTATAGTTGCTATAATTAGTAAAAGTTCCAATTATATCCAACTATAGCAAAATCATGTTTTCCTGATGGGGTTGGGGCAGGGGCTTATCCAGTGCCCACAGCAGCAGGTGCACAATTGGCAGAATTGGCAGGACCCCAACTGTCAACAATATGGTTGACAGCTTGTAAAAAGTTGTTCCCATGATCCTCCTGCCTGTGTGGACAGACCAGTCAGCGCCTGCACTCCAGAGCCATGGCTAGTTGTGCAGCTATCTGCAACAAACAGTTCAGCATGTTTACCGTCCAAAGCAGAACACTTGTGTTTGCTGGCTGAGCCAGCTTTGCTGGGAGATTGGGATGTAGTTGCTCCAGGTTGCAAGATTACCATGACTTCACTGTGTGAGGGAGATTCAGCTCCATCCTTGTCAACATCCATTTGGTAATCAGTACCATCCTTCACATCTATAGATCCCCCTGCCTGCTTGTCCTCCTGATTGCCCTCCTCATCCTCCTTCTTCTCCTCCTCCTCACCATAATCACCCTCATCAGCCCCCCTCCTTTCAGCCATTGACAACTTGGCAAAAGCTGGATCAATGGGCGCAGTTGTCCCTTGGAAGGCATGGCTGTCCTTTGCGTGCAAGCCTAGAATCTGCAACATGGGTTCATAAAATGGCCACCCCTTCCTTGCATATTCTTTTTGGTAGTGTTGCTGGCAGATCAAGTTCTGGGGCGGATCCATCCAACTTGATCCATTACAATAGATAGATTGATAGATTCCCATGGCTTGCAGTTGCACAGTTGAGTCATGCAGTGACTGCAGTTGCACTTTATTAGTCTTGTCTGTCACTAGGCCTACTGCAACTTTTCATTGTTGACCCTGTATTGTTTCAGAAAGTTTGAGCAACATTTTCTATGCTGCATCTGCTCATAGATGTGATGCCTAGCCTAGCCATGACATATATAAGCAGATGCAGTGCTGCAATCTACAAGTCCCACCCAGCACAATTGGCACATTGATGAAAACTTTGGCAAGTCAAGCTAGTCAACAGACTAAGGCTTGGTCTATATGGTGTTTTTTCTTGTCTCCCATTCAGTTTGCACATTTTCCATGCAGCACTCATATCTTAGCCATAGTCCATCAGCAACACACTTCCCTAGTTCTCCTTCACCAACTACTCCAGCAAGTTTACGCTCACAACTTGTTGAACCAACATCTTTGCTATGTGACCAGACAGCCACAGTAGTCAACAAAGGCAGAACAGCAATGCGGGCACTATGGTGACAGAAGAATGCACTCAGTACTTCTGCGACAAAGCCACCTCCTGGAAAATGTCAACACATATCAGCAAACATCAGTAAAAACCCTTTTGCTATATAGCCACCACCTATATATATAAATGCATTCATAGTAACTAAAAAGAATTCAAGGCAAGAGATTCTTCAAAAAAGGGCTTATTGACCATATAGATGACAGGAATGGCCATAATTGAGTTGACAAAGAGGGTGTGGACTCAGATTCAGAGTTTGAAGGTGAAGGCGGATGGGCTGTGAGAATATCCAAGAGGGGGATGCCTGACCCAGAGGACGAGTTTGAAGACATTGTTGAAGTGAGGAATAGAGCAGGTAGCACCAAGAGGAAAGTTGCCATCAATAAGGAGCTTGATACCAGAGACTCATCAAATGAGGAAAACAAGAAGGGTGTTGAAGATGCTGAAGCACACTAAATTCTGAGTCAGGCTGAAGCTTTTTGGAAGGAGCAATTTTTGAAGGTAAGTCAAAGTGAAAATGAATTAATTATTCAAGTTTAGAGACAATGCTTATCATATTCATCCAGCCTGCCAATGCATCTAAACTGTCCCTGCCACTCAAGAGCAAGGGTACATACAGTGGCAGCAGTTATGCAAATGTACGCAAGAAAAAGGCCAAATTGCAAAAGGCAGCTGCTGGTACAGCAAAATCAGCAGATTTTTCATGTCATTGTCAAATCCCACCAGAAAACCAGTTGAGGTCCTCAAAGGAAGCAGCTCATCTGAAGACTTCTCTTCAGATTCTGAAGAGAAATAGGTGGATATTCCTAGCCATCCAGAGCTGCATTTGACAACAGCAACTCCTACTCCCAACATCCCTGTCTCTGACATAGCCCCTGAGTTGCTGTCAGGTAACAATACACCTAATAATAATGCAGACCCCATTCCATCAGCACACTCCTTTATTGATCCAACAGCTAATGATGGGTTTGAGCCTGCTTGCATTCCCATTGGCTTTGTGGTCTCGGTGTTGATGATGAGAACTGTTGTTAGAAAACCACACACAAAAACAAACTAACACACAATCCTCCCAGATTCCACGGAACTTGTTTATGGGCTTTGCCTCCTAGAACAGTGGGTGCTCTGGTTGTTTGTGGGGTGGTATGTATGAGGATCCTTCAAAATAAAACTCAGAGATGTATGGGTGTGGGTTTTGAGGAAAAGGGATAGTTGGAATTTAGAAAGATAGGGGCTTTGTGGTGAGTATAGACGAGCACTACCTTGCTAATTGTAGCACAAGGTAGGTTTGAGAACGACAAGATGACGAGGTTCCCAGTGATAGCAGGCCCCTGACGCACAAACTGTAGTGCTCAGAAGGACTCTAATTGAAAGGGATGACAATGACTTCAAAAGTGGGAAGTGATGATGGCAGCAGTTAACAGTAGTAGCAGTGGGAAGTGTTGTGACCACACTGGATCACAAATAGTAGTGAGTAGTGAACTTGAGATTTAGAGAAGAAGTCTGGAATTGAGTTCTTGTCTTTTTTTTTACACGGTAAAATACAGGGGTTTATATAGTGAAAGAAAAGTAGGCTATGTATATGATGGCAGATTGACGTCATGAAGATGGACCTGTTGCCCTATTTGGACCGGTGTCATGCACCAAAGTTGATTGGTAGCATGGACAGGTGTCAATAATGAAGTGAATATTCAAAAGACTCGCCTTTGCGCCACACAGGCACAGTGCCACATGGAATAGTAATTAATATTGCCCTTTTTGAACTTGTGGCTGATCAGCACCACCTCTATTAGGCAATCCAGTCACGCTCACCTTTGCTTTTCCATCCGGTACTTTCCGTGTTTCGGCATTTTGGCAAATTTTCGCGTCGCCACTGGCTACACATTGCATTGCGCCCTCGCTTTTGTCGTTTCCCTTACTCCCCTTCCTTTGCCTAGCCCCACCATGGGCCCCTTCCTCTCCTTTTTATTCTCACCTGACGGTCGTTTCTGGATCCCCATTCTAATCCACTTTTCCGTCACCTCCACCCTCCTCCTCCTCATTTTATTTGCACCCCCACCATTTCTGATGTCACCACTTCCTATCCGCTTCCGTTGCCGATCCGTTGACTACCACATGCCACTGCTGATATCAGCAAAGCCCCGGTGGCCGGTTCAAATAGGGCAACAGGTCCATCTTTATGACGTCGATCTACCATCATATACTATCAAAACATCGGTCGCTCGTCTTGCCTGGTTGGAGTGTGGGTGGGTAATTTTTGAGCTGGAGAAGGTTCATCCCCTTGCGTCGCCCATGTTCATCGCTGTCCCATTCACTTGGGTACACTTATCTTTTGTCCATCGTCTTTGCTACAGCTACACCTACCACACGCTGCCTGGGACTCACTTGTTCCAAATTGGAACTACTCCTCTCCCTCCCTCGTTTGATCAGGTGGTCCAACACAACCAGTCCATTGGTAAGGCCATGGAACTGTCGGATTTGGACTAGGTGGTGGACCGGTGGCTCCAGTTTCTTTTTCTTCAGCAGAACATTCATTTACAGTGCGATTATTTTTGATTTTTGAATCATTTTCATGGACACATATTTTTTTAGAATGCCTGACTGACAATAAAGGAACTGTGTTGATACTGATAGTGTTTTGCCTTGCCCTTTTTTTACTGCATCTTCCCATGACATCATGATTTTCCTGCTCTCTTTTTGCTATTGGACTTTACTTTATGGCTGTACAAACCTGTGACATTACTCACAGCATTTATTGTTCTATCCCTTTCTTTTCCTTTTTTTGACAATCTTATCCTGTACTACCTACGCAGGATTTGTCAGCGTACATTCCTTCCTTCATATTCTTTCTCATTCTTTTTGCACAGCTATACTGTGCATAACCTACTTTTCTTTTACTATATAAACCCCTGTATTTTACCTTGTAAAAAAAAAATAAGAACTCGATCCCAGACTTCTTCTCTAATCTCAAGTTCACTACTCACTACTACTTGTGATCCAGTGTGGTCACAACACTTCCCACTGCTACCACTGTTAACTGCTGTCATTGTCACTCGTCACTTTTGAAAGTGATTGTCATCCCCTTCGATTAGAGTCCTTCTGAGCACTACAGTTTGTGCGTCAGGAGCCTGCTATCACTGGGAACCTCGTCACCTCGTCATCCTTGTGTTCTCAAACCTACCTTGTGCTACAATTAGCAAGGTAGTGCTCGTCTATACTCGCCACAAAGCACCTATCTTCCTATAAATTCAACTATCCCTCCTCCTCAAAACCCACACTCATACACCTCTGGGTTTTACTTTGAAGGATCTTTATATGTACCACCCCACAAACAACCAGACCACTCCACTGTTCTAGGAGGCAAAGCCCATAAACAAGTTCCGTGGAATCTGGGAGGATTGTGTGTTAGTTTGTTTTGTGTGTGGTTTTCTAACAACAGTTCTCATCATCGACAGCGAACTTGGTAGGAGGCAAGAGCAGTATTTGATTTGCAGTTGGGCCCAAGTCCATGTTCTGTCCAAAGATAGCGGGTATTTCAAGATCTTGAAGATCACTTCAGCGCGGAACTCAATATAACAAACACTAGAGGAACCTATTAGAGCAAGTGTAAACGCGATAGCATAATTGTTCGATGATGGGAGGCCAGTGATGTTCATTTTGCCACTAGCAGCCACGCAGGCAAGGTTCCTACAGTACTGTTAGTTTTGGTGATTCTGCACCTAGTTGTGCTATCTATTTTCCCTTCTTTCTAAATCACTTTCCTCTTTATTCTTTTTGCTCTATTGTTCAGTATTCACTGAGCATTCTATAATTTCACCTTTGTGGCTGATTTGTTTACCTTTGTTTACAAAACTTTGGACTAGTATTGGTACTGTACACATTCTGTACTCTCTGATAATACAGTTACTCATATTGGACTCTAGTTCTGTCCCTGTTAGCTCTCAGCAAGTGGCTAGACACTTCCCAGAAGTTCTCAATTGAACAAGTACCACTCTCCTCCCACCTAATCATTGAGCAGTTGCCATATTTTTCAACGTCAAGATCTGAATACTCCGGCCTCCGATCGCAATCTTCCCTGTAGTTTCCGAGAAAGTGGAAAGTATGCGCCACCCTTGTGTACCCCGATGACTCATCAGACGTCAACAAAGCCAATAGACACTAATAAAGCAACTGACCTGATGAGGGGACGGTCAATGGCAATGTAGAAATCATCCGCCCGTTTAGGCGTAGAGCTCCACGCACTGGCCCACTAGTCTGCCTATCTACCATTCCAAGGTTCGAACCGAGAGTGATGTCATTGCCTACAGCTGGTTTATCCTCGTTATTATTGCGCACAGAAAAGGCAACTAGAATGCAGTGTTCGGAGTTTCGCAACCTCTCTATCCACAGTCCTCGGCATCCCTGGCTGCTTAGACAGTGATCCTCAATATAATTACCTGCATTGAAAATGATTCGTTGTGGAGGTCTACCATCGTCGGGAGGGAACAAAGAGTTTGTGTTGGGGGTGTGTCCACCATAAGTCGCATAAGATAAGACGTCGATGCAGTTAACGGAGAGTGACGGAGTGGGCGACAGATCTAGAATGATTCTGTGTAGAAATAGGCCTTTGTAGAAGTCATGGCCAACAAGGGACATCCTGTAAAATTGCGAGCCATCAGAAGGACCAGAGGGGAGAATGGGTTGAGGCCAGGGGTTGGATAGTGAGGCGCACATAAATTTGAGGTATTGCAATTCGCGCACGAGTATAGGTGCTTGTGGAAGTTGCGATGAATCCATAGATTCAGAAAAAGGTCGCAGGTCGTACACGGAGATAGAAGAGGACCGCAAACAGAGGACATAAGGCCAAAGAAACTTTAACTTCTTGACAAGATGGTCGAGCTTGACAGAGTCGACTGGAGGTGAGCATGAAAATTTTCTGGATGAATGGTACTTACTAACTCTCCGGTGGAATGGTCTCCTATGGTATAGCAAGTCTGGGTGCGCCAATTGAAGATACGAATGTCTGTTGCGCGTGAAAATAGCACTAGCTCAGTTTTCACATTGATGTCGTGGATTACGCTGGGACTCCCGATGTCCATAGTACTGATCAACTGGAGCGCAGAATTATCTTTCTCCTCCGAAGAGGTGAACAAAAAAGGCCACAGGGTGGAAGATAGAATCACAGTTTGACTGGAGGAGAAATCATGAATATTAATGGCATTGATATACTGGCGCATGATCGACGGACAGATAACTCACCCAGATTCGAGTGCAATCCCAATAAAAACAGTGGCTTTATCTGCGCCGACGACAGTGACATAAGAGCGTGGTTGTTCCGCGAGAAGATAACTACCACATTCTTTCCCAGGAGAAGAAGAGTCCAGATACCGTGTATCCCAGACATAAACTTGACCAAGTTTGTATATGGCAAGCAGATAATCGTCGAAGACATATTCCAGATGTACCGGGTAGTCGATCTTAGGGTCGCATGATAGAGTATAAATCGGTGCTGGTGGATTGTATTCTCTGGGAACCAGCCACAAACGTTCTGTTCTGAGAACAGATAAGACTATCCGCTCGATTTCTGAAGATATCAAAGCATCCAAGTCATGAGTTAAACGCGGAAGGGGCAGAAACATTTGTATCCAGCATAGTAGGTCAAGCCATAGAGTTCGTTCATGGCTGTAGTGAAATAGCAAACGACATGTCTGAAAGCGCGAAATTAGATTATCAGTGCAAATTTTTTCAAAAAGATTAAAAACATGAAACCTTGCGTAACGAAATGATATCTGCCACATTGAGATCAGCAGCGATCATCAAGAAGAGCTCGAGAGGCAGATCCAGCATCGTGCCTTCAAACTTGAACTGGAGGTGTAAGACTGATTATGGAAGGACTCGGCGAAGTATTCCTGGAAATAACGACAAGTGCATTCAAGTTCACTTTGATGCGAAAAATGGCGCGATGGCGTCTTTAGTGAATATCTGCTTTACTATCTACTGTCGTTAACCGTCAACTCGGATGGGGGACATTCGGACGTCACAGAGGTCACACAAGCCGAGTTAGAGCTCCTCTCGGCACTATAAGTGTTTGAACATGATTTTGGCACACCTGAACTTTTTGAAACCGAGATTGCAGTACCTTAGTAGAGCGTTACTTTCTCGAAAGTCATGCACATGGAAGGAACTCGCTCAATAATTCGGGATTTTGTGCTAGGAAAGTTGGAGTAAGTAGTAAGAATATATAGAACTGCTATGGGTTGAGTTGTTGAGGAAAAATGACAGTGGAACATATGTTTTCAGAAATGTCCGAATAGCCTCCCCCCATCCGAACTGATGGTTAATGACAGTACTATTGTTGGACACTAGATGCAACCGGTAAGAGAGATGCACTTGGGCCTCCACAGGCTCAACAATCGCTGTACAGGTAGCTAGAAAATTGTCAGATGTAGAATAGAGTATAGAGAATATAATTGTGAAAGAATTTAATGAAGAGCTTACCTGTAGCAACAACGATAGACCTGACACTAAGCTCTTGATCTCCAAAGGTGTGAATTTTGAGGGAAAGATGCCCAGATTTGACCAGATCTCGTGCTGGGAATATTGCGGTTTTGTCCTGGGAAGCGTCAATAGGTAAGCGCCTACAATGCCAGGTACTTACCAAGCTGATTGGGGCCTTGAGGCATCTGGAGAAATGAGAACAATGATGAAGTCGTGACTAGGTGACCGAAACAGGCAATCACGCACCAAGATAATGAATCAAGGCCCGCCAGCTCCGCTCCGGCACAAACCGCACACTTGTTGATGGATGAAGATCACACTGGTAAGCGCAAAGAGCTCATTGATATTGACGGTTTTACTCTCATAATCCCCTTAAAATCTCTTAACTTATGCCCCCCATACGAACCAGAAGGCACCGTCGCCACACTTCAACGTCCCAGCCCCCCACCAGCGATGTAGTGGACCTCGAAAAGCAAATACAGGCAGCATGTGAGGCTACCAGCACCGGTGCAGCCAGGAACCTCAAGGCAGCGTGTTGCGATCTGGGAATCATCAAACACTATTACACTGCACTCAGGAGGTATAAGGGAAAGGCTGTACCATGTCGTGAGGCTCACATCCAACAGCCGCACATAAATCAGGCGCAGGAGGAGGTTTTATTGGAATGGATTCAGTTTCTAGGTAATACAGGTCATCCCCTCTGCAAACAAACCATTGCCCCCTATGTTTTTGACATGTGCAACAAGTATCCCTCTGAAAAGTGGGTCCGACGCTTCATCAAGAAACACGAGGAACAAATTGCATCACGAAGGCCATCAACCATCGATCCCATGCGAGCTCAAGCTTTCAACCAACCTGTCGTGCAGGACTTTTTCAAGCAGTTTGAGGCAGTGATTAAGGAACATGACATACCTTGGGAGAACATCTACAATATGGATGAGAAGGGGATTCAACTTGGAGGCGGTCAAAATTCTAATGGCCGCCGTTTTTTTTTCTCTCGTTTCAATCATCAAAATTACACAATTCATGGGGGTAGTCTGGAGTTGGTTACAGTAATAGAGTGTATCTCCGCTGTTGGCGCAAACATACTCCCTGGCTTTATTTTTGCAGGGACGATCATTGATGCGGAGTCGTATGAAGTTCACCCTGAAATTTTGTACGTTTCCATTTTTTCATTGTATCTGTCTACTAATATTTTACAGTTATACTACGTCAATTAACGGATGGACTAACGACTTTTTATGCACAGAGTGGTTTAGAAAATCATTCATTCCTCAATCTCGTGCTCAAAACAAGTCCGGCAAGCCTACTCTTCTTGTCTACAATGGTCATGGATCGCATCTGATGACTACCATGATTGATCTTGCTATTGAGAATCAAATTCGTCTTCTCTGCCTCCCTCCGCACACTACTCACCGCTTACAGCCTCTTGATGTTGGTGTTTATGGTCCCCTGCAGAAAGCCTGGTATCGGCGTGCAGAACTGTACACGGCCAAATATGGGACATCCATCGCTTGGCAACATGTTGTGAAAGAGTACTGGGAGGCTTGTAAGAGTGCTTTCGTCACTAACACAATTCTGCAGGCCTGGCGCAAATGTGGCCTCTACCCCCTCAATCTGAACGTCTTCACGGTCGCCGACTATGCGCCAAGCGTCTCAACATCAACCGTCAACCATGCCCCTGCTTCATACCCGGAAAACTTCCCTGATGGTTGGATTGATGGCCCATCATCAGATGACCCCGATTATGTTTCCGATGATGACAACAGAGCAATACTATGCAAGCCAACTATTGTTGGCCACATTGACCGTTCTGAGCATGACTCAGACGGTGCTAGCTCTGAGGGAACAGGGGATCCTGATGGGTCTGAAACCAGTCTTTCAGATGGGGAGGTGGAACTTGACAATGGCGGCGGCAACAGCAACAGCAACAACGGCAACAGTAGCAGCAACAACAACAGCATCGGCCAGCCGTCTAGAGGTGTAAGGGCCTGGCTTCAAGTAAGCCAGGGCGCTCTACCCCTAGGGGACATAAGTGCCGAGCCCTCCATGTCGCAACAAACATGGTCGCAGTCCCGGTCTCTCAGCAGCCGTATCCCCACTCCATTGCCCTCTCCTGCAAACTTGCGCTCAACCACCCCCGCCACGATGTTGATCCACCTGCAGCCGACTCAGCTGCTGCTGATGATGTTGAAGAAGGCCCTTGTTGAGAAGATCCAGAAGCTGTCGGTCCAGCTGGGAGAGGCGAGGTGGGAGCGGGATACAATGCAGGGCCATAATGCTTTCATGATGTGTGAGTTGTCGGACTTGAAGGACAAGCTGAATAATATAAGGAGCAAGGGGAAGAAGAAAAAGGGGCTTTGAGTTCACGCTGAGCTCCTGACAAGTGCCGAGTTGCGTGAGAGGCATGCTGCAGAAGAAGAAGAATGGCAAGAGAAGGCGAGGAAAGAAGAGGAGGCCAAGGCTTCGAAAGCAGCAAAGACGGCCGAGCACCAGGCCCAAATGGCAAGGCTCAACGGAACCGAGGTCTTTGCGGGAGCATTGGGCAGCAAGTCCAAGCCTGACCTCCAGCTTATTGCGGCAGCACTCAGCCTGAGCATCAACGGCAAAAAGCAAGAGGTCCTTGATCGAATCAAGGACCATTTCAAAGCCCATCCAGATCTCGAAACAACTCCCCGCTTTGCAGGTTTATTTGGAGCTCGAGCTTGAAGACAGGTGATGTTTTATTATTTTTTTAAAGCCTCTTTCTAATATATCCTAGGTCGCCGCCCCTCATCCAGCCCCCGCATCCTTTTCGCTCCCATCTGGAAGCAACATGTCCATGCCTGCTGGCTTACCATCCAAGGTGCCAAATTCACAGCACCATGCCCCCCCTGGGTCCATTCCAATGCCGTATCAACCCAATATGTATCTACCACATCCCCACATGAGTTACCCTCCATTCCCGCCTGGTAGTATTCCATTTTCTCCTTTTCCATCATCAAGCTCGAGTATATCTCAAAATTCTCAAAATTTGTCATATTATATACCAAATACTTTCATACATAGTAATAATAGAATGTTTAGTAGCTAATTTATATATTTTCCTGGCTTGTATTATTTCCACTGATGCCCTAAAACTCGAAACGACGCACATACGAGCAGCCTCAGGACAGAGAAAATTTCTTCAATTTGGCCGAGTCCTTGCCGACGAGCTCCGCCTGGTTTCGCTTGTGAGTGCCGTCGTGACTCAGTGTGACCGAAAGTTGCAGAACCATTCCAAAAGGTGTGTCGTCGTTTCGGTTTCGTTCCGCTGCCCTAACGCCTCAAATTCTTGCTTATTCTTTTACATAGACAGCTAGAAAACTAAAAGTTCTATCTACTGGTCAAGTTCCGACGGTCTCAAGCTCAACGACTGGTGACTTATTCAACTTCTCCCCAGACCAATTGCACCTATTGTCCAACGATAGTACGGGACCTAAACCTGACAGCAGACACGGCCAAATGGGAGACTACAGTCGCGGAGTGTCAATATTTCAAAGTTCTCTATCACACTACTACCATGTAGTGGTCACTACTGTTAGTGCAATAATCACTCGACCAGGGGGTTTGCACTCACTGGCTTGAGCCATCGTCTGTCATACGCAGACTTATTGTAAAAGTGTTCAGAAAGCGACCAGTGACACAGCCCGAGTTTGAGTGTTCTGACCAAGAGAAACTCAGAGAAAGCAGAAACCATGCCGTTTGCGTGCTAGTAAACCTCCCTTTTGCTCTGGCTATTCCAAGGAAGCACGTCATCCTCGATGCGAGCTTAGTAGGAGGCAAGAGCGAGCATTGTCAATGTACCGCGAGCGAGACTAGTCTGGACCATCTCGGGCACGGTAACTCGTTATATAGCCGCGACTCGGAGCACCAACCAAGAGCTAATTTGTGAACATGTATCAGACGCGAGTGGAAGGCTTTATAATTTTAGTACATAGACGGATTACAGAGGCAAAGAAAAAAAGTCGAGGTAAGAATAAATAAGTGCTGCGGGGTGAACCAAATAGCCCAAGGTGCCTCTGCAATGTCCCCTTGTATCCGTCGAGTCCTTGAGCTTCCCTTATCCACTAAGGAGGAAGGTCCCTTTGATTACTTCGAAGCTCAATTCACGCCCCACTTACGAGCGCGGCTCCTCTTTTCCTCTTACTTGCTCTTCTAATCTCTCCCAGGTCAGCCTCGATTTCACCCTCCTTCCCCCCTGCCAGCATGGCAAGACTCTTACCCAATCCACCGGTTCCTGACATGGAATGGTGCAACCCTGCTCCGCTTGGTTTGATTCGCCTGCGACTGCTGCTTGCTGCCCCTGCAACCCCTGCTGCAGATGGCGGGACGCGCGACGAGTGATGTGAATGAGAATGGGCGGATGTCAAGACAACAGAAGTTAATGAGAGGGGGAATGGTGATGGTAATTCATCTATTGAGAGAGAATGTGGGTTTGTATTATTGGTGGTTATGGGAGTTGATGATCCCAACCCTAAGCCCAAACCGAGGCCAGGAGTTAGCGAGCCTGGAGTAGGGGGCGGTGAGTTTCCTGGGAACTTGTTGCGTAGCTTGCGAGTAATATGTGGGCGTGTTTGGGAGTCTAGAGATGAGTCTATGTACCGCATAGAAATGAGTATCTGACTCCTTTAGATGATATAGCCAAAGAAAACTCGCCTCCACCAGTCCCTTCTCCTTCCTTCTCCTCTCTTGCCCGTCTTCTCCGTTCTTCAATTCCTTCCAATAGTCTTTCTCGTATTCTTTCTCTCCCTCTCTTCCATTCATCTTCGACCCTTTCCCTTTCTTCCGCCCATGCAACATGCACGTTCCTCAACGCATGCTTTTCCTCGGCAGAAATTTGTGAAAGTAGGGCAGAGCGCTCAAGAGAAAGTGGGTAAAGGCGGAGTACATATAGTGGGTGAGTTTCTGGTCTAGTTGCGAGTTGAAGAGAGGTGGAGTGGAGGGAGGATATTGATTCAGCGAAGCCCCGTGTGCTGGAACGGGAGCAAAGCGAGTTGGCGTTACTTTTTAGAAGGTTGAGATATAAAGTGCAAAACCCACTCGAGATTTGGACCTATCTTCCCACCAAAGTCTTTTCTTTTCTTCCCTTTCGGATCGTCCAGCAAACCTTGCCCTTCGGATCAGCCTCCCGCAACACATTTCAGACAGGGAATACAGGAGGACTGAAACGTACCGCTTGATCGCGAACCTGCTGCGGTTGCATTGTGATGGTGGTGGTGAGGGCCTTGAGGGTGTGATTGAGACTGGTGCTGGTAAGTGACGCCCAAGGCAAAATTATCGCTCGACTGTAAAACATCAGCGCGGGCAGTGTGAGTGGACGCGTACGGGAGAGCAAACATTCCCGGCTGGGGTGGCATATTTTCGAACGCAAGGATTGAAGTGAATACTACGAGACCTGTTGATCTGGCAGTATTGTCGGATGGCACTCGGAGCGGCTGTACAGAAAAACAGGACAATCTGAGTGTGACAAAATGTCCAGTGCCGTCACAGTACCGTTGGTCACACTTTGTCTTTCTGTACCCTCAGGCTCAGGGTTGTCTGCACACCAAGCATACCGTTTAGGAGGAAAACAACAGTCGTCCCTCCTATCAAAGCACCACCCTAATATTGGCGTCAAAGAAGCAAAGCAAGCCCATGCGTATATGGCTTACGTAGAATGAGCATGAGAGTGAGTAGCAAGTTATCAACGTCTTATAGCTATTTTACATGAGGAAAGTCTCTTGAATGCGCTCATTTTATAGAGCTTTTTCCATTCCTTACTCGTATAGTGTACCAAAAGGCCATGTCATGGTGATTCAGATCAATATCAGTCGACATTCAATTACCTCCAGCAATTGACGTGTCTCGGAGCACATAGTAACACTTGGTTTCACATGGGAACGACTAGGAAACCTCCCGTTCCCTGGGCACAGTAGGCCAACAGAGGTGATTATTTCATTGAAGATGGACTGGCGAAGATCGATCTTCAACGAAACATGCTCGCATCTGACGAAAAGGATTGCCGTCCATGGAGTGCCTACGTTTAAATGGTTTCTTGTCTATTTCTACGGTACGCTCAAACATGTTGCCTCAGAAACCAATACCTGTGCTTCAACGTTCCATAATGGATTCTGTGCTCTGGGGAAGGCGAGGCTGTTGCGACGATGCACTCGTTTTGGGATGCAATTTCAGCAGTGCCCGGAGTTACTTGTTCCTAGCTTCCTGGTTGACTCACCCATGGACTCATATATTAACTTCTCCTTTCATAGTAGAATGAATGCAAGTCTGGAAATAATAATGCCGCATAGTTCGCGACTGTCATTCAGTAATTAGGCCTGACTGGAAGACTGCATCTTGCCATGCTAGTCTGCTACATAGACGATAGCAATACGGACATGTTCTTTGATAAAGGGCGTTTACTACCCAATGTTTTATTTCTGTGACTCGTCCGACTCCCCGACCCATCCGGAAAGATCGGGAACGACAGTACAAGTGGGGTGTAATTGAAAGGTAGCTGACACAAACGAGCAAGTAATAGTGAGTATTCTCTTATGTTCTCTTCTGCCTTGAGGACACGCATCAGTACTGCCGAATCTTGTTGTGCATCATTTTAGTCATCTTACAGCCCGATGTTGCTATTTTCTGTTTCACGATCGGCCGGTTCGAACCATATACGGCGATGTTACCACGCCCTGTCGCTCTGTCGCAGTCACATTGTGTCAAGAACATGATATCTTACACCGCACTCAGACTCAACGGTTTGCGTGTTTGTCGAATGTGACTTCGTTTCCACCATTTAAAAGGATCACTAATTTGATAATATCCGATACCCCATTTCATGTCTCTCCCAGAAAGCACTACAGTTCTCATTGTCGGCGCTGGACCCACGGGTCTCGCCGCTGCTCTGTCTTTGATCCACCATGGTGTTCGTGACTTCGTGATTGTAGACACTGTTCTCCAAGGCCAGAATACCTCTCGTGCGTTGGTCATTCATGCTGCGACTCTCGAGGTACTTTTCATTTGTGAACAATTATCGTCATTGCTGTGCGGTACTTACATGTCATCCGAGGCATTAAACACGATAGGTTGTGCTGACGAACTCAATGATCTTGGCCTCAAGGAAGAAAATGCTAATATTCGCTCACGCTATTCGAAAATTTTCCGAGTGGACTTCAACTCTTTGAATAAATATACAAATTACGCGCACGCGTTGATTCTTCCACAACCCATCACTGAACGCGTATTGGAGGACAAGCTCCAGAGCCTTGGTGGGCGTGTATACAGACCCCATACTGTTAGTGGTCTATCACGAAACAAACAAGATAGCACTATCACCGATGTGGTCTTTCAGGATGGGCAAATCATCAAAGCGAAATATGTGATTGGCGCAGATGGTGCTCGTTCAGCCGTAAGTTAACAACCATTGGCTTGACTAGCTGCTATTCGTCCCAATAACTCATATTTTCAGATCCGAAATATCGCTGGAATCAGGTTTGCGGACCCTGATGGCGAAGACGTTTCTAAATCTAACCTCCTATCTCAAATCGTCCTCGCTGATGTTACCTTTGCCGACGAGTCAGGAGTCCCAGACGCTGGCCTGAATATGATAACAGATTCGGCTGGATTTTTCCTTTTTATACGCTACTCCAAATCTTTCGTTTCCATGTTACCAGAGTACGAGGGCAAACAGATCATAGACAACGTTTATCGTGTCGGGTTTGGTGTTCCCGTAGAAATGGGTACACCTCCCCATGCGCCACCACGCGAGTATATCCAGGTGCTTGTCGACAAGTTTGGCCCCGTGTCGTCTGGTGGAGCCCCCCCACTCAAAATCGAGCAGGTAATCTGGTCAACGCGGTTCAGGACACACTCGGCTATTGCTGATAGGTTTTTCACGCGTCTTGGTGCTCCAAGTGATGTTGATCTCAACGAAAATTCGGGTGAGAAGGAGGGAGGTGTGATCCTTCTGGTGGGTGATGCTGCACATATCCACTCACCTGCAGGAGGGCAGGGGATGAACCTCGGATTGCGGGATGCAGTCGCACTAGGAGACGCCATACACAGTCATATAAACGCATCGCAGTCATCTTCCTCGCCCTCTCCTTCGCTAGCACCACACCCCGACATTATCCTCCAAACATTCGCTGCAAGCCGTCGCGCGCGCGCTTTGGAGGTAATCGCTCTCACTAAAAGCCTACTTAGTGTCTTGGGTATGAAGTGGGGACAGTATATGCGCTGGTGTCCCGTGACTCTTGGTTCAGTCAGAGATTGTTTGCTTTGGATTGCTGGACGAGTGGGATGGATAAGAGGCATGGCAGCTTGGAGAATGAGCGGGCTGGGGATGAGGTAAAAGCTCGTGGGGATGGCTCTGAAGTGAGAGTGGCTAGGGGGAAGGTACTGATGAAAGCGTATCTGACGGCACACTGTGGATGGACAAATTTGCGTGTGACAACGGCAGGAAACACCACTCAATTATTATATCAGCCCAGTAGGTACAGCAGCAACGAAGGAGGCTACTTAATTTATGCGGATATCATATATTTATTGACAACGATAATATATGTACTTACTGATTCGCACGCGACAATTATCAGATACTGGTCCCTGCTACTAACTGTTGTGATTTTGTGGTTAGTTCGAGGCTGATCACCATATATGGCAACCTGAGGTTGTCAAGTACTTCGAACATTGTGCTCGCCGGCGTTTCCAGCTCTGAGCGCTAATCATAATCATGAACCCGATGCGTCGAATTCAAGACTCATTCTTTACAAACCGCCTTGGCGCTTAATATATAAAGTCACTGCGGCCGTGCTTCACACGTTTACCTTCAAACTGAATATCATCTTTCTATCGTCCTTGAAACTCAGAAGTATCATGCCTCCCAGCGAAGATGGCCTCTTGAGCCAATCTCCTAGACAGTCAGAATCGCTCACAGCAATACCAAGGTATCCACCAGGTAGGTTTCCTGACAATTGAAATCAAGAACCTTAAAGTAGCTGCGTTTTGGCCCATCCGCAAAGCCATACTAAGCCGCTTTTGGATCTGTCAGCTGCACAGAAACTAAGGGATGGTTCCTTGCCTCTTCAAGTTCCGAATGCTGAAGCGCATGTCAGTGCGGGTGGAGAAAGGCCTGCAATAACAGGTGCGCACGTCAATTTGTTGACCTGAGCAAAAATTCAGCTGTTGTCTGATTACAGGTTCACGAGCGTATGGTCATGCCTCTGACTCGGAGGCGGAGAGAGGTGACCACGAGTGGGAAGTTGACACCTCGTCTCCGCGTTTGGAAACACATCATAGGCAGTACGTACCCAACATTGTACTAAGAGCTCTTGCATTTACTAACCAAGGCCCTTCAGGTCGGTTTCTTATGTGCCTACTGAAAATACACTTCAAATGGCAAGGAGAGTTGTTGTAACAACGCTTATAAAGCCAACGAAGAAACGTCCGTTTTTTCTTGGACTAAAAATCGTGTTGACTGGCTCCTGTTCGTTGTTCTTGGTGATACATAACCCGACTCTTGCTAATATCGCAGGCAGGGTTGAATATCTTAATCATATTTCTTCCCGTAGCTGTAAGTCCAACACGATCCGTAGCTTGAGAGAATCTGACACAATGCACAGTGGACTCTACATTTTCTCAAACTTTCACCCGCTGCTGTGTTTACTTGTAAGTAGATTCCACGCAGACCTTGTCGCTCTCCAATATGACGATGAACTATCAGTCTGTTATCTTTCTGCTCTGGGCCTCGCGACTGTCAGTAATCCGATAGCGCTGATTTTGACTTCGATTGATATCGTACCTTTCCTCAAATTCAGCTACTTGGTCTGTTTGCAGAAGAGCTTACGTTGCAGATGAGGGAAGTGTTAGCTGTATGGGTCAAAATTTCTTTAGTGAGAGAGAATAAAATCATATTCATACACGCAATCCTCAAAGTTGATATCTTCTAATTAGGGAAACAGGTAAATATTTGATTCCACCATGGCTTCTTTTCATGCGCTACTTAACATAGTCCAGTGTCGAGTTGATTTCAGCGGTAAGCAGTATGCTAGCAATTGAAGGATGCCCACCTGAAATCATGGGCTACAGATCGTTGCATTGCATAACTGTCAAATCAGCCTGGTACAGTCACTGTGTAAGCGCGTTTCTGAGACTAGGCTGCTGATTCCGACTGAGTGGCCTATTGGATATAGTGATGGGCACAATATTAATAAACCTATGTAGGCCCTCCTCTCATTGTATATCTTATTTTAAACCAACCGGCCTTGAATTTGACAATAGTGCTTGTCCAAGGTGCGGCATTTATCTTCGGAGGATCCCAATACATGGAAGGCGTTATATCCGCTAGTCAGTCACATGATAGTTCCCAGTATTCTAGCACAAAATTCACCCTCTTTAATGGATAGGTGCTGCGCAGGTCAATTCCTATCTCCTAGCTCTTGCAGTGATTGCCATCCTCTTGCCAGCTGCGTTTCACTTTACACTGAACAGTGGTATATCTGATGAAGCCCAGACAAGTGCGATTCTAAAGATGAGTCATGGGGTGAGTCATGGGCATTTACCTGTCCTTTCGCAGACTCAAAGGAATGACGTCGGTCAAGGTGGCTGTTATCCTTCTAGTTAGTGAGTCGTTTGATTTTCTTCATTTGTATCGCTGGAAGTTATGATTTTACTTTGTCAGCATTTGTGTTTTATATTATGTTCCGCTTCAAAACCCACCGTTTTCTCTTTGATATGGAACCTATCGAGGAATCGGATGAGGGGCCAGAGGAAGGTGTTAGCAACCTACCCATATACATAAGTGTAATTTTATTAGTTGTGACCATAGGGGTGAGTTCTCCGTCACGGGTATACCTGCTACAACTACTAAATATATCGGTCGTCGTACCTCAACTTGATTGCGTTGAAAGCTGCTCGTTGTCACCCTTGAATGGCTCATCGAATCTATAGACGACCTAACAGTCAACGGACAAATTAGCAAGGAATGGATAGGCTTGATACTCATACCGGTTTTGAGTGGTAACACGATAGGTATTTTGATCGCTAGGTTCCTGAGATGTGTTGGAATGATATCTGCACCCATGATAGAGCGAATTGAATCCATAGTCCAGGCCACTCGCGCGAAGATATATCTTGCCATCGAGTCTACAGTTGGATCTAGTATTGTCAGTATATTATATTTATTACATTTTACCTCCATTGAGACGTATCTACAGGAAATTGCATTGCTTATTATACCGTCAGTCTTTTTTTGCTTTTGACAGTTGCTTCTTCACTGATATTATTTTCATTCATCAGACTTGTGATCTGTGTAGCATGGGGAACTGGAAAGCCTCTCTCATTTCTGTTTGATCCATACGAATGTATTGTGAGTCATGTTTCTGTGATGTCCACCACTCGCCTCATTTTGATCACTTGTCGAAGATCCTATTTCTCTCGGGTAGGCAAAGATATTGCTCCTTGGTACCTGATCTGATAGCCAATTCAGTTCTGATGTTGAATTATTTGATGAACAATGGAAAAACCGACTACTTTAAAGGCGTCGTCCTTCTGTGTGAGTGTTCATAGTGTTCATACAGACAAGCGTCACTATTCTCATACCGACCTTTTCAAATCTCATACCCTCAAATAATTGTGATATTTACTTGATAATTCAACAGTCGTATATGTGATGGTGGCAGTTTGTTTCTGGTTCTATACAGGTACGAAATTAGCACATAAAAATACCTGGGGCAAGGAATAATATGTGAATGCGACATAGGATCTGATACCGTATCAGGCTTGACTTGTTAACCAGCCTTTCTGAATGACCTTCACAATGACGATGCATTGATCGTAGGAAGCAACAGCCTCTATCATATTTCATGTAAAGCTAGATTTTTAATGATGGAATAGATAATCAGCCAATTCTGAGCCCAAGAGCAAATCCAGCCAGGAACGATGCCCTTGGTTGGAAATCAGCAGTTAAAAAGTCAACTAGCCATCTCCACAGTGAGTAAACGGTGGGTGCCCTTTTTTGGCCAGTGACGTCTTTGGTGTAGAATAGATTTTCAAAGCGTGCGCCCATGCGTGCCCAGTCGACACGTACGAGAGACGCGGAACCAAGATACTGATAGATCACGTATGAGCGTTGAACTGTCTATACGCAAATAAGGCTGACCTGGAGAAGGACGAATACGCCACCCAAGAAAAATGCGACCGCTTTGGCACCCTTCTTGATGAAGACACCAGCGCATAGCCCACACAACGTACCGAAAGACAGCTCGTAGAGATTTACATTTGAGGCTGGTGGCGGTGTAAATGTTGGAGGAAGTGAATTTTGGCGTGATGTGGGTTGTGTAGGAGCTACTCCTCCAGGTTTGGACCGTCATGAATATGCAAAAGTAAACCCACGCTCACCTTCGCAGTAAATTGGAGATGCTGTCAACCCCGCAAAACCAAGCGCAGCGCCGCCAATCCCAACAGCGGCCAAGAGCGATGGAAAGTAGCCTTTACGTGTCGAGTTTCTCACTGTATAATGAATACTAGCGTTTGTGATACTCCTAACTCGGAGGGTATTGATGTTGAGGGAGGTTCGAAAAGCATTGAAAGACCCTTTGGCTGGTTGGACGAAGTAGGATTGATGACATAGAGCTGGTCTAATACCAAGAAACTGCCTAGTAAATATGGATGCCATTCAATACTCGCTATGAGAAATGCTATGAGTTGGTGCTCAGTGTAAGCCACAGGTTCAAGTTGGGGCCGCAGTTATGCGTGATGTTGATTCATGTTTGACATGTTGACAGCTAGCCGTACACACTCACGAGTCCGAGATCACCCCATGATGATCTGACTCTCTTCAATGTTATACATCATAAAAAGGATATCTTAACAGTCCTGCTACGAGGCTTCAAGCTTCAAGTCAAGAACGGAAACACGATGAGCGACTTTTCCAGCGAGTTGGAAGAATAGCTCTTCCAAGTTCTGAAAGGCACTTGAAATCTTAAAATCTACTAGTCCTTCTTTTTCAAGCCAGACATTCGATTTTTCCATGCACAGAGGCCACCTATCGACCTTGTTAGAATAGAGGTGAAAAGGTCGAAAGTTCTTAGATCGTGCTCAGTTTTAGAATTTTTGATTCATTACGGTGCGAACGGGCTCGTGAACTCAGGTGGTAAATTTTACAATTAATTACCCCTGTCTTTGCTTGGCTTTTTTGTTCTGGGTTTATCATTCAAGGTTGGCTTTCATTGCAGTGCGAATAGACTAGCAGTCGCTATTGTTCTACGGTGTTCATGGGCATGTCAAGTGAATCGTCGCCAACTTTCATTAGCTCACATTTTTTCCAGGATAGCCATTTCTATCAAACACGTTGGCATCTGCAGGATGGTTCCTTCTGATCTTAGACAAGTATTGCTCTTGATGTGTAATCGTCACTAGTGTGCTCGTGGCTCATCCTTGCCTTTCATGAGTCGATTATATTCATATTCTGAATCAAGCGGAACACTCGCCATATCGAAAATAGCGGCTGAATAATCTAATATTGTCTTTTGAGGACAAAATAGCTGTATACAATTCTTCAAGTTCGCTCGTGGGCGCCTGGGTTCCACCTTTTTCTTATCTTGCATTATTTTCCGCCAGAACTACAACATGCAGGTGCGCCTCCTCTTCATATCTTAGCGATGGCATAAACTGAATGCATATATCACAGTAACAAAATACGGTGTTTGGGACGCCATCATCCATTTAATGCAGACCAGTACTGTATTCAACGGCAGGCGGTACTTGATTGTGCGGCTCGGTGTTAAACGGGCGAGCTTACGTTGTCAATAACCAGCGCAAAGGTGCTAACTTGGGCCAAAGCTGTCCTTAATCTGAAGAACGACACATCCAGAATATGACGTGTGGTTTACGATGGTGATGCATGTTGCAGCTTCGGGGGTCTGAGCGATGTGTCCGATGTAGAGTCTACGCCATAAAGAGATATCGACCTTTCCCTCGTATCATTTTCTGCACCCCGGGCACGAGACAGAAATGAACCCATCTTTCGACTTCGGAAGTTGATACAAAAGTGTTGGGGATCCAGTCTCAAGATATCAGGTTTATGTTCAAAGTCTCGTTGGTGCAACAGCGACTCTGACGTAAGTGCCGCTATCAAAGGGCATCAGTCACGGTCTTGAAGATTCAATAAGATAACTTACTCTCCACAGGTCAGTCTGTCAGTGGCAGCTCCGCAAAGCCCATCAGCAGCGAGTTCCCCAAAGTTCCTGAGAAGAAAATCATTGTCAATGCAAGATTACCTCGCAATATGTTGAATCCAAGGACCGTGTCACAGTACAGGCCTTCGCCCCTAGATCAAACCGGTCATGCTCAGCTCGTATATTTTTGCATGGTACGTCATGGTGGTCAGGCAGCTGGAAGAATAGGGAAGCTGCTTACAATCAAGTTTATATTGACCCTATCCCGCAATGTTCTGTTAGGCCAATTGTCAGTTCGCTCGGGCCCATACCATCAAACGAATGAGTGGAAACTGTTTGGCATTTCCATTCTACGTGGCATGATCAGCATTATTGCCCTTCCCCATATCACATGGCATCCTAATCTTCTATTCTTGAGCCACAAATCAAATAGATTACCGGGAAGCTATTCATGCAATGTTGTTGAACCCAGTGGATTACAGTCCGTGCAGGCATCAAACATGTCAATAACTTATTATGGAACCTAAGATTCAGCGGATACTACTACAGTACAGTAAAATACTTCCAATACAAGCTTTTGATATACCATTAGCAGTTGTGAACCATGTCAAATCGAGTTGGCCTCTGAAGAGATGTCTTTAATTTTCATATCGAGCTGACGTATTTCAAGAGAGAAAAATAAATAAACTGGCAAAAACAAAGAAACAGTCTTGATAAAATTACTGGGAAGCTGCAACGTCTACAACATATCCATCCACTCTGCGATATGCTGGTAGGCATTGCTCCGCTCAGGTTCATACCACTCCAAACTAAGGGGCGAGTGTATACTGTCCGGTGCTTCATAATAAGTGACCTGACCACTGTCACTACCTTCGCCCATATCTCGCACCATCCTATTTCTGAGAGTCTTGATCTGGTCCAAGAATACCTCTGCCTCTCCTGCAATGAGGAAAGTCCTAGGGAAGCCAGAGAATGTCGGCTCGATATGTAGTGAAGCAGGCGATATATACATATTCGTCTCTGCACCATCTTTTCCATGAGGTCCAAGGAAAGCGAAGGTAGAATAGTTCTCGAGTCCTATTAAATGACCTACAAAGTCTGACTCTGCGTTCAGAAATACCGATGATCCGGGTGTTACGTGCGAAGTGCTGAAATCTACCCAAGGAGAAGAGAGAATCAGCCCCGCAGGAGGTGCGGGAACATCGTTGAGGGTGTGTTCGTGTTGTAGAAGATATCGCGTGAGTCCAAGGGCAAGATTCCCTCCCGCAGATTCTCCCATTATGACGATATCCGATGGACGGTAATGGCATTCATTCACGAGGTACGAATAACCAGCAAGGGTATCAAGGAGTGCTGCGGGAAACGGGTTACGAGCAGAATAGGGAGGTCCCACCGAAAGCCGATATTCAACAGAAAATGCGCGACGGAACGATGGACAGTTTTTGAGGAAATCGCGTGGTACAACGGAGGTATAATCGTGCGGATGGGATGAACATATGGTGAATGCGCCACCGTGCAAACGATAAAGAATCTTCTCGCCTGGTTGTAGAGGTGCGCCTATAGGGATGTCCAGACCCTCCTTATCCATCCAGTATCCTGGAATGCGAATGGGATGCACCCCAGACATGGTTGCCCATCGTTGAAGCTGCTTGTCCATCAAGTCAGGAGTAGGATTGATCCATAAAGCCTTAACACCGGGACCCTCCTTTATAGCCTCATGCGTTGGGAAGCTAAGCAGAGATCCGATTCTACCGGATGGTGGCAGAATGTCAGTGTCCTGTTGACGATGTGTGATAGAGGACATACTTTTGCTCCTTGTTGATCACATGTCGAAACACTGCAACAATTACGCAGCGCTGCCAAGTCCACGATGGTCTTTGACGCCATGAACGAGGTGCATACTTAACGATGCAGTACGGTAAATACAGGAACACCGTGAATGCGATAAGATATGTAATGTAGAGTGCCCGGAAGGGTTGGTGTCGCCATTCATGTGCCATGGGATAGGGTTACCAGAAGAGGACACTAGTAGTGAGAAGGACTGCATCGACCGTAGCAACTTGTATTTAAATACAGACCCGGGAGCTCATGTGGGTTTGTGATTTGTCCGTTTCAACATTACGGTAAAACAACCTATCGCTATTGACTAAACCATATAGTACGAACAACACGTCCCACGCACCTCAAAAGACAGAACGATGATGTTCTAGCTTGGCAATTGCGTTATATGTCTCGACACTGGAAGGCCTCTTGGATTTGCTATGTCAACTACATCTTGGGTTGTGCAGCCATATCCTTGGTTCTTGCATACCCATAGTACTTCGTCTGGTCTGCGACTCGGAATGAGATTACACAGCCGCGTAAAAGAGAGTGGGGCTTCTTTCCGATCTCAGATCCATCCACTCGAAATGACTCGGAGGCTTTGCGAACTGTCCCAGCCAATTGTTAGCTGCGTTCAGAGTGTAAGCGAAGCTGGGGGAAAGTCCTTCAGAGAGGATTTTACAGCTAATTGCAGAACGTTAGACATGTCAGCATAGAAATCGCATACAGGCAAACTTGAAAAATATAAATCCCCGAAAGATCAGGAGATTGTATCTTAAGTCTGGTTGGCGTAGCTGTGGCGCCTCGTGGCTTCCTGTGGTGGGCAGACTCTGAGATTAGTCTTACGAGTCTAAAAGAATTTACTTCCCGCTCATCCCGCTCCAACTCCGAGTCCACATTTTTCACACCGGGATGTCTAACGTACAGTGGTCGTTTGGTTACGGTTCGATTTTGGACGCCGATCTAAAATTCAGTAATTTTTTTGAAAGGCCGATAAACTGTACAAAGATTATATTGTAAGTTTATAGATATGTGAATGATGATCAGCGATAGGTTGATTAAGATCGAGAGAGCTTCCTTAAAACAATTTGCGAGACCAAAAAAATAAATATATTGTCACAGACGCGCTTTCAGGACATACAACTGAAGCAGTACAAATGAAGACAGCACAGCTGACTCCTGTGCCAATAAGAGAGGCTCTAGCCATACAGAAGAAGTCAGTGGGATGAAAATGATGAGAATTGGTAGATACATACCAGCCAAAATGGTCCTGCAGTACTGTTCTCTGGGACCTCCAAGGTGGCACCATGGTAGATGCGTGTGTGCGCATGGGGAAAGGGGGCATGGGTTTGACAGTGGAATGAGGAGGGCAGTTGAACCATGGGGAGCAGGCACAGCAACAAGGGAGGCGGCGGCGGTGGGAACAACGGCAGCACCTGACAAATAGGACACCGGAGCAGACACAGCTGGCTGGAGCATCTGTGCATTGATCACGGGGGATATGGGCCAACCCTCGGGACTAGGTGTGCGAGAGCTGGCGGACAATCCAGGGCGAGTGTAATGGATGATAGTTGCGAAAAGGACATCAGTGTTGGTATTTGACAAGTGCATGTTGGCGAGGATGGAAACAATTAAATCTGAGAGGTGAGTTAGCAGAGGGATGGCTGAAAAAAAAACGACTTACCGGTCCCAGTTTCACCACTATCATTATCCTCACGAGCATATTATCAATGCATACAGAATGTAGAGAGAACATCCTGACCTGTATATGATCCCTTGCAGCGTTAGCCAACCTAAACCAGAGCCCTATATGGTGTATGAAGGGAGTAACAATACCAGCATTTAGAGCTGTTATGTCAAAGTGCCAACCTTCAAGGTCAAGTCAAAGATGCTGGAGCTCATGTAACAACCAAGAGTTAGTTACTCTGGCGCACACAGGAACACACTATAAAGGTAGTGGAAGATGGGGAGTGGGTACCCCTTGGGCTGCAGTGAGTTAGTTGGTATACAACAGGAGGACTCGCTGAGGAGTCTCCTGGATCTATTGGGGTATATATACTACTACAGGTTGTTTGTACATGTGTACTATACAGTTGATGAAGGCAGTGGCTGATGATGTCATAGGGCCTAGCCCGTATGGCCAGCTCCACTGCGTGAGAGAGTTAAGTCTAAAAGTAAAAGAAAGGCAATGCGGCGCGAGAAAGGGAAATGCCGCGTGGCACTTAAAGTATAAAGTTAAAGCGGAGAATAAAAAAGGAAAGGAGATGTCCGGAAATTGTGTTATCGTAACAGCTCAAGCCTCGAGCTTTCCATCAAGTTTGAAGAAGAAATTTGGAAGTGAGTTGCCCAACCATTTATTGTAGTGCTAGCTTACGAAGGCTCAAATGAGTTCCCTACAGATCCTCCGATGCATCCTTGAGAAAACCGGACCTCAAGCTTCTGTCAAGTTCCAAGTCAAGGAGGCAAAGGTTCGGATCTCACAAACTGGGAGGATTGAGGGACTCCAAGCACATCAATCATGCGGCCTTGAAGAAACCGGACCTCAAGCCTTCTACTGACTTCAAGGAAGTAAGGTCGGCCCACAACTTGGTCATCTGCTAACCACAATGATCTGAATGACTGTTTTGCAGATCCTAACTTTAACAACAAAGATCATCCACAATGTCGCAGGGTCCCCAGTAATGCGGGCACTGTGAGAATTGAAGGACTCCAAGCACACCAGTCATGCGGCCTTGAAGAAACCGGACCTCAAGCCTTCTACTGACTTCAAGTAAGGTCGGCCCAAAACTCGATCATCTGCTAACTACAAGGATCCAAACCACTTTTTTTTTTACGGGGATTCAGATTGGAGGCCGGTGTTTTGATAATAGATACTGTAATTATATATTCACAATTATAGACATTAAATTGCAAGAAAATGAGACATGTACTACAAGACAATAGCTAAGGCAAATCAATCCCAGGTTCCATCCAAATCATCCGTCCATTCATATTCAAAGTCAGTCTCTGCTTCGTCTGATGAGTAGCATGCAACATTATGTGGTGTGCCTCCCACAACGGGTCTCCCTTGCCAGTGTGGTGGAAGAGGTATAACCGGCATGAAATCCAAGTCTTCTGCATTGTCGGAAATAGCAGACTTGGCCAGCATAGCCTGGAATTCAGTGTTGTTTGGCTGGTTTTGGAACTGCTCGAGCAAGTGGACATAGATGTCCCATACATTGTTGCAACAAATTGGTGGGTAGTTTGCAGCATCTGAGATTGCACGAGCTTGTAATGCAAAGGCTGGAGGTACCAAGTTAAAGACATGATAATCGGGGGGTGCATATTTGTTTCGCACTTCAGTGAGATAAGGCGGATGGATCTTAACCTGGACAAGCATGTATTTGAGACGACCAATGAAATCAAGGGAAGCAAACTTACCACAAAGTCACGCGACTCAAATTTCTCTGGTTGATTGAAGATATCAATGGGGCATCCGTGTGGAAGCAGCTTGTGTGAATTATATTGGGGCTTTGTGCGGTTGAATCTGTCAACAAAGCAGTCGAGTTCCTGTTGTATCCAGGGGATAAATACATAGTGGAATACCAGCCTGCAAATAAGTGTCAGTCATACTATAGCCTAGATAGATGGAATGCGACCGTTGGAGGGGATCATCTGCATTATATAGGCCCTCTTTGACCCCCCAATCAATAAGTGACTCAAAACCCGGAGACCACTGTCTTCGAAGTTGACCCCAAAAGGTCTCTGGCTTGATGTTGCGATGGGATCCTTTGAAACTATGCTGTAATGTTTTGTCCAAAGCCGGGTCTTGCATGTGTTGAAGGAGTGTGTGGCCATTTGCAATGCCATTATTTTTGGTTCCAGGGTCGCTTTGAGTGATTAGAGGCATCTCTGTGTTGTATAACATGAACATTAGCAATGGAACTTGTTAAAAAAAAGTGAACTTACCACCCAACCGCTCCACAATGTCACAGTACCATCTGCATATTAGACAAGGATTGTGGTTTGTCCACCAAACTTTGAGCCAGAGGACATAGCCAGAAAAGGGCTCAATTCCAACATGAAAAAAGAGCTGGAAGCGGCGCCATTTATTGTGCTGATCAAAGCACCACAGCTCATTAACACCAGCTGTCCAGAAATAGCTAGATTTTAATCAGTGTCTTACTCGTCCTTGTACTTCTTCTGGATGGTGCAGGTTCATGTATTCTAGTATTACTTGCCTGTCAAAATATCATTTGAGTGTTCCAGTCGGTGTGGAGAATGGAACAATTTACTGAGGCACCATCACCAATTCTTCATGTCGCAATGTCTGTTTCATATCATGTGATCCTTGACGAGGAAACCGTGCACAAACACGTTCAATAGCTGGCCCAATACTTTCAACTGAATGTCCCTGGCCCCGAGTGCTCTTTAAGCCCCACACCATCCTTTTTTTCTTCAATAATGAAAGGCTGTAGTTAACAAAATAAATGTGTCAGTCTAATGTATGCTAGCATCACACTTAGAAGGAAAGGTTCATGAAAAAGAATACTGCTCTGTGTCATAGTAGTCCTTGAGTTTAGTGATAATTTCTGGATTGGTATATCCCTCTGCTACAAATTGCTCCACCAATGGCCAAATTACAGTGTCGGGAGCTGTGTTAAAAGGACGTAAAGTGAGCATAATGTTACACTGAGATTCCTGCAAGCCTACCTGGAGTTACCTTATATCCATTGGTACCACGGGGGTTGGGCATTGTCCTAGATGTAAACAAAAAGCAATGTGAAGGCTCTGTTGCCAGAAATAAGGCAACCTCAAAAATGAACTCACTGTGATCGCGCTGAAGGGCTATCCATTTAGCCGTTGTGCAAGTGATCACTGGTCACCTGTCACCTCTTCCTCGTTTGTTCCTCACTGATGCTACCTCGATCACCGTCTCCTTGTCTTTACTCAATCACTAGTGTTTGAGATTGCCCATTGGTGAGCTGCAATTCACCCTGATTTACATAGCCCTTATTTTTGTCTTTGTGCCGAGGAAATTCTTGTGAGGCCTGCAACTCGGACACAACATCACTTAACTCGGACTTGAATGTAACACAAAGTATCTATATAAAATACAATAGGAGGGGAAAGGTATGTAATTTCGCTATCATGGATTTTACACCCACTACTGAAGGCCCCTCTTTTAAGACTTGTAATCGTTGTCGCACCGAGTTTGATAGGTCAATCCAGTTCTTGTACATCAAGGGCAGAGATGGGACCGGTCGCCACTGTTGCCCGGATTGTGCCGCTCATTATCAACGCAAGCGTGCTGAAGCTAGAGAAAACATTAATGGGGGCACGTCAAACGGATCTGTTGGTATGTTTGTTTTATTTCTGTAATCTAATCTATGCTGATAAGGCGGCTTAATACTAGATTTCACAAAAGTAGCTTCCAGCACACGTGGCATTGATGCTACTTCACGCCAAGCACTTGTCAAAGCTTCCTCGGCAGCACAACGTGGCGGTGAGTAAAATTTCCGTCTCCCCTGTGCGTGGTACTAGCACTTACCGACACAATGTACTTGCAGAACAATCATTCCCCAAGCAGTATATTGGCATGGGCCATGCTGCTTCAATGCCTCCACCTCATGTTCCCGTGTCTGTTAGTATCTCTCAAGCCATAGGTTACACTCATAACCACAACTTCCACACCCACCACCACACAAAAATGCTGGCTTCTACAGTGGCTCCTCAACGTCAGGTCACAATTCGGATTGCTCTACATCATGTGAAGTATGAAGGAAAGTCTGGGACAGAGTTGGTTGGGGTGAGTTCATGGCTTTTATTTTGATTCTTGAGGACACTTGCTCATATTTTGGGTTGAGAACATTGAGCGGGATATTTCAGTACCACTCTCCATCAAATGCGGCCAACTATGTGACACTATCATAGAAAACCTGAAGCGTCTATGGGTTGTCTGGTCTTGTGACCATCAATTGGCGCTCAAGTCACTACAAATGCTCAAGGCTCCGTTACTACTCATTTATGACCCTGAAGAGCCTCAGCGGTACTCCGAGCGACTAATCCTCCACAACTTCTTTTTTCGCGCCTCAGGTAAAGACTCTACACCAAAGTTTTTGCCAAACATCAAAGTCTCCATCATCCTCCTGATGTTGAAGGAAGATTTTGAAGACATCTTGCTGTGGAAGGAAGAAGATAAGCATGCCAAAGCACGCTTGCGCAATGAAGATGCTCAGAGTCTGGGGAATACTTCTTGTTATGTATTATTTCACTATGCTCATACTATTATTCTCATAGATATTTCTTGCAGCAACATCAGGCGGAAAATAAGCCAGAAAACCTCGTGCAAAAAAGACATCAGTGCAGTATCCTCCTCCCACACGTGGCTTTGTGCCCGTTCACCAGAAAATACCAGCCGGAGAACAGGTATGTCCCTGGGTTTTATATAATTACAAATAATACTTACTGCTTGCAGGTACCTAGTAATCATGTAGATACGGAGACGACAACTTCAACCTCAAGCTTATTTCAAAGCAGGGCACAACCACTACCCCAACTACGCCCCCTCACTCCCTCATTCTCTGCCTTCTAGGATACTCTCTATGGATACCCCACCCCCGGATGTCCCACCATTTAGTGTGCTGGACAAAGCTGTTCTTCAATGTGTGATGATGGCTCAAGGGGATGTTCGGTGCCTGGCAAAGCCTATTTGTAAGTGGAACACCTTCTTTCATGAATATGTACTAATACAACACTGAAGTAAGCACCAACATAGGAGTGTATGTGCTGTTCCTGGTACCCTCAATCCCATTTACAGACCTCCTCAAGAAACGAGTCCCTTTTGACGTCATGAACCAGGTTAATTGCCCCATAGTGATATTGACGGTTGACTGTAGTTCCAAGGCAATGCTTGGACCGGCTGGAAGCTTCAAAACGTGTCATCCGGCATTGTGAGAACAAAGTGAAATGTTGCAACCAGAGGACAACATTCTGCAGGCGGAAACTATAGTGGCTAAGCGTTGCTTTTTCACAAAACAGGTAGAGGGGGCTGAAGTGAGCAAGACCCCATCAAGTCCTTTGGGTGGGCACAAACGGCTGGCTGTTCAGGACAAGCTAGTGAAGATGCTTGATGAAGCCAATTGTCTTTACTGGGCAACAAGCCTAATGACTTTAGTGTATAATTTCATTGACGACAAACTCATTCGCAGGCCCCTTGTCTATTCTCCCCCAATTATTCCTCGCCTCCGTATTGTCCACGCTGCTTTAGCCATCCCCCAAGATACCAGAGAGTCACGCAACACCGTGTATCTTCTGGAAGAAAGGATTAGCGGCCAGTTTGTCAAGTGTATCAGCAACAACTGTGCAACTCCTTGCCATAGCCTTGCCCCAGCCAAACTGGAGATCACAACATTCCTGTGTTTTGCACAACACGCACAGTATCATTTCTCGCAAGGTCTTGTCTTTGTTTCAGATTTTCAAGGTATGTTATTTTGTCTCTTTCTATCTCTCACTTAGTTTTGCTTCTCAGGGTCCGGTAAAATCCTGACCGACTGTCAGATTATCACAACCAAGTCAGTCTTTTTTTCCTATTAAGTTACCAGCTCTCATCTTTGCCCCAATTGAGTTCGCAAATAACTTTGGTGAAGGAAACTGGACGGCAACTCTGGACAACTTCCCATCATTGCACAAATGCAATGAATATTGCTTATATTTTGGACTCCCTTCCTTAGCAATAGCGGTATGTTTTGAACTCAATTGATGTATACTCCTCTAATGCATTTTATGTACATTTTTGTAGGGGTCTGCTACGACAAAGAGAGCACTACAGGAAGTCGAGGCAGACATTATGTCTAGTCGTGTCCATGGCTAAGAGTGTTTCTTTGTTACGTATACTTTTGTAGAACATAGATGATGTCCATGCAATAAACTGCTATAGTGAAGCACACATTTGCTCGATCCTGAAAATCACGAACTCACAAGCTCTGATCAAACTCTGATTGAATTTTGGTTATTAGGAATATAGATTTACAGTGTAGCTACGGGGTTTGAAAAATATAATGCCGGACTTCGGCTTGCCTCCAAAATCGAACCATAACCAAATGACCACCGTGCTAATGATCTGCAATTAGCTGTGAGACTAACGAGGCAGAGCCCCTGGCATTTGGTAAAGATAACCGAGGAATAACTGCAGCACAACCACCATCTGCTGATTATCCGTATGGCATTTTTGATCCAGTACTGGTATCGCAGGATAATAAATGTAAGCTCGTGTTTTTTTAATTTATATAGGCCTAGTTAATATCTCTCCTATCTAAGCTTCTCAAGTTGTTCAAGTACGCATGATATTTCAACCAGTCCCTCTGAAGAAGAATATGGATCTTCCAGACCAGTTGTTGCAACCTCTCATTTATGTCCAAAATTTTTGCTTCACACGGAGGGCTCAGGATGGCACTATCTTGGAGTAGATTTCATTTAGGTTTAGAAATACAAAATGAAAAATACATTGAAAATACCTCTTCTACCTTGTATATAAGATCAAAACAAGATTTGAAAAATGCTAATCTACCCCCATTATGCCCGCAGCTCTCACTCAAAACTGTCCAACTATCCGCCAGCAGTTAGATAAAACCGTTGAAAACATCTTTCACCAGCTAATCCATCGTTGTCGCACTGTCAGCAATGATGATGATGATGACAACAACGAGGACAACCTCTCTATCCACTCTTCAGCCTCACTGTCTGATCAGAGCATCAGCTCCGCTAGTTCTGACAGCACAGGTGATCATAGCATATTTGTTATGATACACAATTTTTGGACCTTTAATTTTCATTCTCCTCTTTAACTTTATACTGTAGTTTTCACACACTGTTCTATGCAGCACTTTCCATTTTGTTCAAACTCCACCTTCTCACGCTACACTGCCTTTATTCTTATTTTAGCTACAAGTCTCTCACACAGTGGAGCTAGTCACACGGGCTGCGCCCTCTGACATCATCAGCCACCGATTTTATCAACTGTACAGTACATAAGTACAAACACTCTGTATTAGTATATATACCTCAATAGATCCAGGAGACTCCTCAGCGAGTCCTCCTGTTGTATCCTCACAACTAACTTGTTGAAGCCTAAAGGGTAACCACTCCCTCATCATCCTCTCTATAGCTTGTCTGAGTTGTGCGCCAGAGTAACAAACTCTTGGTTGTTACAATATTGATGTTGGTATCTTCTCCGGATTTTGTGTTGCTTCATTCTTCACAATATGATCATAGAAATAGAGGGAAAAATAAAAGTAGGATAGGGACTGGCGGAGAGAACTAAATGACATTTTAGAAGTGTTAGCTGATAGAGACTTGGAAGAATTGGACCAGGAGGACCTTGAAATAGACGCCACATCGGAGAACCTTAGAGACATGACTTTGAGGTAGCCACTGCAGTGCTATCTCGATTAAAAGGACCTGTGGCAGGTCAATACGCCCAAGTTAGATTACAGGAGTGCTACACCGCGGGAGTGTGGCCAACCTGGGACGATCTCAAGAAAGAGATCGAAAAATATTTTAAACCACAGGCTGAACGTGACTGGGCACGTCAGCAAATCCGCTCCTTCAAACAAGGAAATATGAGGACGGATGATTACGTTACCCGGTTCCTGGCCCTCTCCATCCAAGGAGGACTTGGAAATGAACATGCAGTAGAACTGCTGGAGCACAATGTGAACCCTCGCATTGCAGAACAGATCTACTTGTAGGATACAAAAAACGAGAACTTGGCCCTGGCGGCTGAGGAAGTACGACGAGTCAGTAGGGCCATGGAGCTTTACCAAATGCACCCAGGTGGCGGGTCCACCACCAAAAACAACACATCCCAGAGGCGCCCTGGGTCATGAAACCAAAATAATCATTCTCACGGGTTCAAGCCGTTCGGGCTGCAACCAGGGCAGGGAGCCCCTATGGATATCGGCACGGTCCAAGGAGGACAGATGCGCAGATTCAAAGGGAACTGCTACAATTTCGGCCAAGAAGGACACATGTCCCGAGATTGCAGAAACGGGGCACAGGCCGCCCAACAAAAAAAATAACCAAGGGTGCCAGGTGCGCCAATTAGAAACCGAAAAACCGGACAATCGGCTCAACTCTTTGACCAGTCGTTCATATGACAAAATCCGGGCCTTTTTCTATGACCAACAGGTCAATGAGATGAAGGCTCAGGGAAAAGAATTCAGAGCTTAGGTCACTTGGGTGCCTTCGCTCCTATGAACAATGAAGTAAACCACAACAAAGTGGCTCCTGCTCCGGGGTGTTGCACGAGCAATAAATGAAAGACGGGGATGGCTCCCCAATTTGAAAATAGATTTCAAAATTTATCTGAAGTATGTACTTGTATAAAATGTTGTGACTGTAATATTTATGATACTACCACTGCACCAGCGTCTCCTTTGGAGTGTGGCCTTGGCAAGACAAACACTAGGGTGCTTGATTCTGGTATAAATAAAATAGAAAAACATGTAACTTTTGATACCCTTTCTTCTTCACTGGAGCCACCCTTTCCCGAAATCCCAAGGCGTTTGTTGATGTGCACGTATTTATTCCAAAAAGAGATCTGTTTAGACGTTGGTGTGGAAAACCTTGCCCGGGGCATTGTAAACCCAACCAGCGCACTGCTTGATTCAGGCGCTAATGGAATCTTCATAGATCAGGTTTGGGCAAAGCGAATTGGACTCCCCCTTGTAAAATTAGATGTATCTATTCCCGTCTATAACATTGATGGTACACTGAACGCGGGTGGCTGCATCACGCACAAATGTTCTTTTGTGGTCAAATACCAAGGACACAGAGAACAAGTCACCGCCAAAGCTACCCAACTAGGGAAGATTGATTTAATCTTGGGCTGGACCTGGCTATTTAAACACAATCCTGAGATCAACTGGCAGACAGGGGTTGTCACACTGTCACATTGCCCTCAGGAGTGTGTGAACTTGGGTAAACCAAATCATGTTTATCATAATGAGTGTCTTGAAAAGATAAACGCTGGTCATGTTTATGAGCTCAGATCTTTAGAAAAGATCGACAATGATGATGATGAGGTAAAACCCGAGGAAGAGATTAAGAGGCTGGTACCTCCCGAGTACCATGACTTCTGGAAAGTCTTTTCAAAACATAAATCAGAGCGCTTCCCAGAGGCTAAGCCTTAAAACCATGCTATAGATTGGAAGGACACCTTCAAACCGAGAAAAGGACACATAATAGTAGACAAATTGGCTGGTGCCAAGATCTTAACAAAGATGGATCTCAGATGGGGGTACAATAATGTGCAAATCAAAGAAGCAGACGCTTGGAAGGCCACATTCACGTGCCACCAAGGATTCTTTGAACCCCTTGTTATGTTCTTTGGGTTGACCAACTCACCGGCAACCTTCCAGAGCCTGATGAACGAGATCTTTGCGGATATGGAAAAATGTGTCGTCATTTACATTAACAATTTATTAATATTTACAAAGTCGGATGATGAGGCTGAGTATGACAGGATCGTGCAAGAAGTCCTTCGACGCTCACAGGAACGGGACCTATTCGTCAAACCTGGAAAATGTAATTTTAAAGTGAAGGAAGTAGACTTCCTTGGTATGATCATAGGCCAGAACGGAATCAGGATGGATCCTGAGAAAGTTCAAGCTATATTGGACTGGCCAGAACCTACTCGCATCAAAGGAGTTAGGGCCTTCCTTGGCTTAGGCAATTTCTACCAAAGGTTTATCAAAAACTTCGCAAAAATCACAAGACCGTTGAACGATCTCACTAAAAAGGACATTGTTTGGCACTGGGGCGCCAAGGAACAAGAAGCTTTTGATAAGCTTAAACAGGTGTTTACAACGGCGCCCATATTAGCATTTCCAGAATTGGACAAAGAGTTCCGGCTAGAAACCGACTCTTCTGACTTTGCTACTGGGGCTGTTCTATCAATTAAATGCCCTGACAATCTTTGGAGGCCTTGTGCCTATTTATCACATAGTTTGTCGCCTACAGAGCGCAACTATCAAATTTACGACAAAGAGATGCTGGCCATCATTAGAGCCTTAGAGCACTGGCAGCACTACTTAGAAGGTGCTAGACACCAATTTGAAATTTGGACCGATCATAAGAATCTGGAGTATTTTATGACGGCCCAAGACTTGAACCGAAGACAGGCCTGCTACGCGGTATACTTGTCAAGGTTTAATTATAAATTAATTCATAAGCCTGGGAGCTCTATGGGAAAAGCGGACACTTTGTCCAGAAGAGAGGATTATGCCAACGGCATCGAAGATGATAACAAAGGTGTTACCCTGATAAACCAATCAAGGGTTGCCAATGTTAGAATTGGGCAGGATTCCGATCTTCTAGAAGTCTTCAAGAAAGACATCTCCTCAGAAGAGAAGGCGCGCCTTGACGGCAATGAAAACTATTTATGGAAAAACAGGCTCTTCCATTTTAAAGACAAGATCTATGTACCTGAGTCCGCAAGGATCAAGGCAATAGATAGACATCATGACACTCCAGTGGCTGGGCACCCTGGGTGGCAACGAACAATGGAGTTGATCTCCAGAAACTACATGTGGCCTGGCATGGTCAAAGACGTACAGGAATACATAAAATCCTGTTTGAGATGTGCCATGGCTAAGAACTCACATCAACCGCCGGCCGGAAAACTTATGCCAAATCCAATACCAGCTGGTCCCTGTCAGGATATATCGGTTGACTTTACGACGGATCTGCCCGAGTCAAAGGGGTATGATTCAGTAATGGTGGTAGTGGATTGCTTCTCCAAAGAAGTGGTATTCATACCCACCAATAAAACCATTACCGCCGCTGGTATGACATATTTAAAGATTTTGTATGGTCTATCCATGGGTTACCAGAAACGGTTATCTCCGATAGAGGGCCACAATTCACTAGCGAATTTACAAAAGAGTTATGCCGGATGCTGGGCATCAAACCTAAGTTATCAACGGCATTCCATCCGCAGACCGATGGACAAACGGAGAGACTCAACCAGGAGTTGAAGCAATACCTCCGTATATTTATTAATGACAGACAGACAGATTGGGCCAAGTGGCTAAAGATAGCCCAGTTCTCTTATAATATCAAACAGTCATTGGCTACAGGAAAGGCACCGTTTGAGGTTACTAGATTGTACCTCCCCAGAATGGGTGTAGAACCTGGTAAAAGCAAGAACGAGGCTGCTGAGAACATGGCCAAAGACATGAAGTCTGTCTTGGACAAAACACGCAAGGCGCTATTCAAAACTGCAGAGCAGATGAAAGACAGGGCAGAGCGTAGACGCTCCAAAGCCCCTGACTACAAGGTCGGCAACCTGGTCTGGTTAGATACCGACCACTTAAAATTAAAGGATCAGCAGTCCAGAAAACTGACCGAAAAGTGGATTGGCCCTTACCGGATTAAGAAAGTCAAACCCAACGCGGTGGAGCTAGAACTCCCAAAACGAATGAGGGTAGTACCCACGGTCAATATTAGCCGTGTGAAACCCTACAAAGGGCCACTGCCGGGACAGCGCGTAGACCAGCCCGGACCGGTTGTAGTCACCCAGGAAGGTGAAGAAGAATTCAAAGTCAAACGGGTGGTGGATGCACGCTTGAAGCGTGGAAAATTAGAGTTCCTAGTCCTATGGAAGGGCTATGGAGACGAGGACAGAACGTGGGAACCAGAAGCCCATCTGGACAATTCCCGCGACGCTGTTCGCAAATTTTATTCTAAAAACCCATCAGCTCCTAGGAAGCTTAGAGGCATGGACTCAAAACTTTTTAATTCCCTTTTTCAACCTATGCCCAAAAATTTAACCACTACCTCCGGTATTTGGTCGAGCCTGGAAGTCGAGCCTTAGAAGGGGGGTAGTGTTACAATAACACAATTTTCGGACCTTTCCTTTATTTTTTGCTTTAACCTTGTACTTTAGCTTTCACACATGGTGCCACACGGCACTTCCCCTTTTGTCCAAAACTCCTCTTTCTTGCGCCGCATTGCCTTTCTTCTCATTTTAGACACAACTCTCTCACACAGTGGAGCTGGCCATGCGGGCTAGGCCCCATGACATCATCAGCCACTGCCTATATCAACTGTATAGTACACATGTACAAACAACCCTGTAGTAGTATATATACCCCAATAGATCCAGGAGACTCCTCAGCGAGTCCTCCTGTTGTATACCAACAAACTCTCTGCAGCTCAAGGGGTAACCACTCCCTCTTCATTTTCTTTATAGTGTGTTCCTGTGTGCGCCAGAGTAACTAACTCTTGGTTGTTACAGTCACAAGCAAATGATCAGATTGTGAAGCCATTGTGGCTGGTGTACTTGGGGTTGGTGCAAAAGTGCAAGGCCAATTGAGTGAGGAAACTGAGTGTACAAAAGGAGTTAATGTTACAATTAACATACCAGCACCTACTTACACTTCACTTTTGTACTTCTACTTTTATTTTCCAAGTCACATGACAGTCATGTGACCATTTACTTTACTTTACATTTTCAACTTTTCACAGTTACATGACCAGTCATGTGACACATTACCTGACCAGTGTCTAGACTTATCATGTGACCGGTCACATGCTAGATATTGGACTTGAAACTTTATTTACAACTGTACAGTACCTCATGTATTTTAGTATATATACAAGAGCAATACATGGGGAAGGACTCAGCGAGTCCTCCTGTTGTCTAGCACAACTAACTCACTGCAGCCTAAGGGGTAACCACTCCCCATCATCTTCTTTATAGTGTGTTCCTGTGTGCGCCAGAGTAAATAACTCTTGGTTGTTACAGTTAAGGAGTTGAAACTGTCAAACAATGCACTAGAAAATGAGGGATGAGTGGAAAAGGGTAGTGGATTCCTATATACATGGCTCCTGCCAGAAAACTGAGTGCTAACACCAGCATATTGTTGCTGGCCAGTCAACTGCGGCTGACCAGCATATTGCTGCTGGCTGGGAAACTGCTGTTGCTGTTGACTAGTATATTGTTGCTGGCCAGCAAACTGCTGCTGAGGGTGGGCCAAATATTGCTGCTGCTGACTAGCAAACTGCTGCTGAGGCGTAGAGTGATGCATGCTGTGTTGTGATGTCTGAACTTAACTACCATCCTCATATTCCATGAGGCTCCAGTCACCATTGCTCTGGAAGTTGCCGTTGTCCATGGGATCTTGACCAGCATTTGCACCAAACAGCAATAACATTGCACTACTTTCAAGATTTTGGCCAGGCAGGGACAACTCAGGTTGTGGTGTATACTTTGGCAATGACTTCCACATTGCATGCAGACGATCCCACCATCTGAATTGCCCACACACTTTCTCTAAATGTAGATACTTATATGCTTCCATTTTGAAATCCCATCTGATTCAAAGCTCACTAATAGGGTTGCTAAAACCCGACAAAGCTAACTCTTCAGCAGACAATTCAGCACCTGTACCTGACAAGCTGTGCACACACTCCTTATACTTTTTCCCAAGGCTTCAAAGGTATTCATTATGTTGATATCATTATGTCTGTTAAAAAGAATATATAAATATGTACTGGTCGAGTCTTGATTGCACTGATTCTCCAAATTGCTTGCAGTGAGGGTCAACTGCAATACAGAATTCTTCCTTTGAGTCGTTCTTGAAGACATGTCAAGCAATTCTTCTGACGATCGGGACCCTGACACCCTTGGTGTTCCTCACAACTGGCCGGTTTTCTCCCCTAGCTACAGATAAGGAATCAGAAAAAGCATTTGATGTCACACAGGATTTTTCTCAAACCAATCCATTATGTGGTCAGTGCATTTATTTGACCAAGTAATGCAAGATGGAGCCAGGGGATTGCCTTGGCATGCAAGAGTCTGCACTGATCCTGTCTTGTGTCTTAGTGATGTAACAACCAAGAGTTAGTTACTCTGGCGCACAACTAGAACAGACTATAAAGGTAGTGATGAGGGAGTGGTTACCCCTTAGGTAGGACCGAGTTAGTTGTGGGTAAACAACAGGAGGACTCGCTGAGGAGTCTCCTTGATCTATTGGGGTATTTATACTACTACAAGCTTATTTGTACATATGTACTGTACAGTTGATAAAGGCAGTGGCTGATGATGTCATGAGGCCTAGCCCGTATAATCAGCTCTACTGCGTGAGAGAGTTTTGTATCTAAAATAAGAAGAAAGGCAGTGCAGCGCAAGAAAGTGGAGTTTGAACAAAAGTGAAAGTGCTGCATGGTACGGAGTGTGAAAACTACAGTAAAGGTTAAAGAGGAGAATGAAAATTAAAGGTCCGAAAATGTGTTATCATAACAAGTGATGCTGTGGCCTTCACCAGACAGTTGTTGGCCCTGATTGTCATTGTCGGAGATGTCGTTGATGCTGTGGGACAACATGAGGAACCTTGAGGTTGGAAGCAGGGCTGCTAGTGGGTCATCAGTATGGAGGGGTATCCCCATCGATGAAGGGATTGAATCGGCACTTTAATATACTAGCTTTCCCAAGAATATCTGCCTCCACAAATTCAGGTTTGCAGCGAATAGTTTTTGGATTTCTAACCACAAAAATACCCTAGGGTTTGAGGTAAGGCCATTCAGGTAGCGATGACATGACCTATACAGCAGCTACGCAAAAACAATTGTACTCCTAGGAGTCATTATACTGTAGCGAGTAGCACCTCCGACTGTAAGTAGTAGGGGGTTTAGTATAGGAATACCTCAGTCGTTTCTATAGCGTCTCGGGCAGCGGCTGAGTTTCACTTAGATTTATTAATTTTCTCCAAGAATGGCTATGGCAGTGGTAAGTATATAGTGTTACAGAACTTCACCTCAGTTCCACACTGTCCGGTGGTATCATTTGCGACAATCATATATTAAGATTGTTTGGCGTTGACACATCGAATGCAATTGACTCGGGACCAGACTACTAAACCATTCTGCTGTGTGTGTTCAAAGGACCCCTGATAATAAGTATCAAGGTCGGGTACAAAAATGACGAATTTTAGATTTGAGTCTGGATGATTTCAAGTTGGCGTGTGAAACGGATTTTTTCGGCACCTGAATCCGAATTGGCCTCTGAAGAGACGGAGCTAATTTCCATATCGAGCTAACGTACTTCATTGCAAAATGAATGCAGAAACAGAGTCGCAGGCTTGATATCAATAAAACGACTGGGAAGCTGCAACGTCTACAACATATCCATCCACTCTGCGATGTGCTGGTAAACATCGCTCCTCTCAGGCTCATGCCACGGCAAACTAATGGGTGAGTGTATACTGTCCGGTGCTTCGTAATAAGTGACCTGACCACTGTCACTACCTTCGCCCATATCTCGCACCATCCTATTTCTGAGAGTCTTGATCTGGTCCAAGAATACCTCTGCCTCTCCTGCAATGAGGAAAGTCCTAGGGAATCCACGGAATGTCGGCTCGATATGTAGTGAAGCAGGCGATATATACATGTTCGTCTCCGCACCATCTTTTCCATGAGGTCCAAGGAAAGCGAAGGTAGAATAGTTCTCGAGTCCTATTAAATGACCTACAAAGTCTGACTCTGCGTTCAGAAATACCGATGATCCGGGTGTTACGTGCGAAGTGCTGAAATCTACCCAAGGAGAAGAGAGAATCAGCCCCGCAGGAGGTGCGGGAACATCGTTGAGGGTGTGTTCGTGTTGTAGAAGATATCGTGTGAGTCCAAGGGCAAGATTCCCTCCCGCAGATTCTCCCATTATGATGATATCCGATGGACGGTAATGGCATTCATTCACGAGGTACGAATAACCAGCAAGGGTATCAAGGAGTGCTGCGGGAAACGGGTTACGGGCAGGATAGGGAGGTCCCACCGAAAGCCTATATTCAACGGAAAATGCCCGACGGAATGATGGACAGTTTTTGAGGAGGTCGCGTGGTATAAGGGCTGAATAATCGTGCGGATGGGATGAACATATGGTGAATGCGCCACCGTGCAAACGATAAAGAATCTTCTCGCCTGGTTGTAGAGGTGCGCCTATAGGGATGTCCAGACCCTCCTTATCCATCCAGTATCCTGGAATGCGAATGGGATGCACTCCAGACATGGTTGCCCATCGTTGAAGCTGCTTGTCCATCAAGTCAGGAGTAGGATTGATCCATAAAGCCTTAACACCGGGACCCTCCTTTATAGCCTCATGCGTTGGGAAGCTAAGCAGATATCCGACTCTACCGGATGGTGGCAGAATTATCAGTGTCCTGTTGACGAAGCGTGATAGAGGACATACTTTTGTTCCTTGTTGACCACATGTCGAAACACTGCAACAGTCACGCAGCGTCGCAAAGTCCATGATTGCCTTTGACGCCGTGAACGAGGTGCATACTTAACGATGCAGTACGGTAGATACAGGAACATCGTGAATGCGATAAGATATGTAATGTAGAGTGCCCGGAAGGGTTGGTGTCGCCATTCATGTGCCATGGATAGGGGAAGAAAGAGAGCACTAATGGTGAAAACCGTAGCAATTTGTTTAAATACAATACTAGCCGAAACTGTCCTCAAATACATCTCGTCATCTCTTCTCCCCACCACATTCGACGTGTCAACGCTAAACAATTTCATTAAATACTGTATGTTTTGGAGAAAGTAAATCTTCGGGCAGTGCGGAGCTAGGGTGAAGTCCTGAAATGCCATGCATCCTACTGCTATACAGATAACCATTATTTGGGAGAAGACGCACTAGCAACTAGAGCGGATGCCACTGAACTGCCCTGCTGGAAACATTTGGCTGTTCTGAGATAGATCTCAGATCGGAAAGAAGCCCCACTCTCTTTTACGCGGCTGTGTAATCTCACACTTCGCAGGAGAAGTATGCTCGATTGGCTCGACCACTGGTATGCAACGTTTCAAGATTCACGAACCAAGGATATCGCTACACAACCTGGTTGACACCACAAATCGGAGAGGCCTTTCGGTGTCGAGATTGTCTAACGCAATAGCCAAAATAGAGTATCGTGATCGTCTTTTTGAGGTGCGTGGGGCACACGTCCCACCGTGTGCCTACTTATATATATTGTTTAGTCAATAGTGATTACAGGAATGTTGAAGCGGACAAATTACCAATATGCTCGGCTCGCGCTTATCATATTTGCGATAGGCAAGCGTGCGCTCACCATGACAAGGGTCTGAGACGATGCAAGTGGGTTGAAAGGAATAGGGCCCCACTGGCCCAGAAGTGTTTCAACGAGCAGTTTTATCCGATCGTAGCCTGAGTGTCCATGTCAGTTCACGACGCAATAGCGAATGACAAAATTTACATGATACTCACCCAGCAAATCAAATTCCGCTCGCCTTCTGGACAATTCATGATTACTGCGGAATGCGAACAGTCCTCAATTGCTTCATTCGGGAAGTCCAGTATCCCTTGAACTACTTACCCAAGCTATTTACGACTTTTCACGGTACTGCCTTCTCTAGCTTCGCGCCTTACGCTGAAGGTTCCCCTACTGAGAGCCTCCTTGGCAACGTCTGAAATTCTTTTCCAGCGATCGGATCCTAGTTGCACACCACCATACCATCTCGACACCACGACTATCACGTCCTTGCATTGCGTCAACTCCAGCAAACGCGACAGCCGCTCACCGCTACCTGATTCTCCACCGTCGTTATGGCCCGAAACATTAGCGCCTGCAGTGCGATAAGCGTACATAAAATGCGTTGAGCGTTTCAGTTGAGGAGATTTGCTGAGATGGCGCAAGAAAGAAGGTAAGAGCGAGATGTTAGGGAGACTTGATGCGTGGGCTATGAATTTAGATTTGCGATCAATGATAGGCGCAGAGGAATAGACAGTGTAAGGCCAACTATCATCTTGAGGATGGCCGGTAGACGTCGAGGAAAGCGTTACTTCAGGAGTCTCCTTGGTTGATTTTCTTCTTGGATTTGACTGACTACCCATTGAATAAAGGCGATAAATTTGATGTGGATGTTTGAACTCGTATAATGAGCAAGTGACCGGCCTACAAAGAGAGTGCATCTGCTTGGGAAATATCAACAACTTTCAAAATGTAGCCTCGAATCCAGTTACAAGCACGCGTAGAAACTTTTCATCCCAGCTTGGAGCGCCCTTGAATGAGTAAGTATGGATGTATGAATGACCACAAAATCATCCTGCAGCACCAACCACGTGACTAGGCAATTTTACAGAAAGTGACAAGTGACATCACGCGATTGAAGCGGAGACTCAAAAGCGTGTCAGCACGCATTGGCGGCGTGTAAAGGTCAGTCATAGTGGACTCTGAAGTTATAAGCTTATATCGACCAGTGTTCGGTGAAATGACTGACCGTTCAAGGAGAGAAAGGAAAGGCGCGGATAAATTAGCAGTGTATCGACGAGTGAGGGAGGGTGGGGCACGGGAGTGGAAGGTGCGTATCGCGCGATCGTTAAAACCAAGTTTTGACGCGTCAATGGATTTTGATTCTTGAAACGTTGTAGCAAGACGAAGGCGATTTGTATGACGAAGTGACGGACGACCAGTACAAACACATCGTCCGTGGCAGACTCCAGAGAGACGATTTCGTGGTGGACGATGGGGTAGGTGATTATATGGATAATGGTATGGACGATTGGACAGGAAATGGTGATGAAGGCGACGAAGAAGAGGAAGAGGAGGAAGAATACCGCGACAGGAAGAAAAAGTGTACGTGCTCTCATATGTTTTGCCTCGCATACCGACGCGCTTCCAGCAAAGAAGAAGTCCGACGATAAGTCGCGTGGCAAACCGAAAGTTGTTCCTCCAGTAACCAAACCTTCGATAAGTGCATACCGTCCAGCGGTTTCTGTAGAACAAGAAGATGATTTCATGGCTAACTTGCTCGGCAATATCGATGCCATACCCGCTACTACTGTCTCATCGTCCAAGAGGGCCAAGAAACGTAAACCATCTCCCGAGTCTGACTACGATGATTCGCATATAGGGCCTGCTTCCTCTTCGCCATACCGACATCGTACTACTTCTTATTCCTCCGATGGCCCACTAGACGATACTCATACAAATCCGCCGTCCAGTGATTACGACTACGATCCAGTCGATGTTATGAGTCCCAAGAAGAAAGTTCGTTTGACCACCCCTCGTATAGGTAACGGAGCTGGAATAACCCCGGCTATAGAGCGCATGGGTAAGCTCGAAGTCCACACCAGTTCTGAGCCTGAAGAGACATCGATGGACATGGATTATGCTGACCTCGATATGGACGCGTTCATGGACATTAATGAAGATTTAGACCTCGGTGATGTGAAGAATAGGAAGCCAATAAAGAAAGAGCCCATTCCATTCAAAATTGATGCCCGAGCTGGTGTATTTACTACCAAACCAAGCACTACGGCGAGGACGAAGAAAGAAGAAGAAGATACGCCTTCATGGCTTTCTGTATATGATTCTCTTGCGGTTGCACAAGAGGCCGAGGCCTTTGGTCCTTCTATAACATCCAACTCCAAATCACAATTCAAATCAGATGATTCTGTTGCACGAACTGTTTTTGAACCAGACGGCAGCCTTCGCTTCTTTTGGCTAGACTGCCTCGAACATGGCGGCAAGCTATTCTTCATTGGAAAGGTGCTAGATAAATCTTCATCTTCAAGTGCTAATCCGCGAGGCAAGGGCCAATGGATGTCAGCATGCATTACCGTCGAAAACCTTCAACGTAACTTGTTTATCCTCCCCCGGGAATATCGCGTGGACGCCATCCCCGTAGACGATGAACCCCTTTCCTCGGATGACTCCGAAAGTAAAGGAGCAGCTACCAAGAAGAAAGGCAGGCCGAAAAACGTGGAGAATGGCATGGTTATGCATGCAACGGACGTGGTTCCTTCCCAATCCGATGTTTACGACGACTTTGACAGGATCCGGCGGAAATGCGGAGTAAAAAGCTGGAAAGGGCGATGGGTTAAGAGAAATTATGCGTTCGACGAGAGTAAAGTGCCGAAAGAGGGAGACTGGATGAAAGTAGTGTACGGGTTTGATGGTAAGTTTCTTGTTGTCTTGCTCTCTTAATGTCCCTGATTATCTCTTTTACGTTCCCTCCACACAGATCCTCCACTGCCGTCAAATGCTCAGTCTCCCCACATTGCCCGCATATTTGGTACAAATACGAGTGCGTTCGAGCTATTTGTGCTCAAGCGCCGGATAATGGGCCCATGTTGGTTAAGCATCAAGAATGCAGTGGTAGAAGGCAAAGGGGTAGGCACCGCTTGTTTATACCATAGACCTGCCTCGTCTAACTCTACTCTAGATATCCTGGTGTAAACTTGAAGCCAGCGTGTCCGATCCAAAGGACGTATCTCCCATTTTTGACAATACACCTGATGCACCTCCTCTCACAATCATGTCCCTTGCCGTGCGTACAGTAGTCAATCACCATGAGAACAAGCGCGAGATAGTTTGTGTCACTGGGAGAATCTGGAAGGATGGTAAGTTCCCTGCCTCATTGACAAAGCTACATTGGTTCCAGTCACGCCTGACGAACACATCCGTGTCCTCACCCTCATCTCTCGATATATTGTGATGTCCACTAACCAATATGCTATTACAGTCGACCTTGACGATCCAACACCTCCTGAACAGTTACCCTGTAGTGTTCACACTCTCGTCCGACCCTTGGATCGCTTCCCGCCGAACTTTGAGGTCAAAGCACGCTCAAACGGGAGAGGAATGATTACACCAATGAAGAACGAGAGGATGCTACTAAATAGTTTATTAAGTGCGTTTCATCAAAAATATTGCGGTCTTATCATCGTGACTGCTCCCAACAGCAACTATGTTCAAAGCCGACCCAGATGTCCTTGTGGGACACGATTTTCTCGGGGTTTCACTGGATGTGCTTATAGGTCGCATGAAAGACCTCAAAGCAGACCACTGGTCGCGTTTGAGCCGGTTTAGACGCTCTAAATGGCCAAATATTGGGAGGCAGGGGACGAACCTCAAGTTCTTAAATGGACGGCTTCTGTGTGATCTTGCAAGTGATGGTGCTAGAGTATGTGATTTTCGTTTCTCTCCGTAGAAGTACCTGAAGGAGTGACTTGTTTGCCGTATGATAGAGCATGATATCATCAACAACATGGTCGCTTACAGAAATGTGCAAAACTCATCTCAAATCCGACAGGCAAGACATTGATCCAGACGATACAGCTACTTATTTCGATGGGAGTGTGTCCTCACCGGAGAAACTTCTGACTTTCGTCAGACATTGCGAACTCGATGCACATTACCAGATGGCTATTGCTTCCAAGGTCCAGATACTGCCGTTGACGAGGCAATTGACAAATCTCGCTGGAAATGCTTGGTAAGACATCTTACTATATATTTTTCGCCTCCTGGATGACGTTAATTTACTGTTTATTCGTAGGAACAAGACCCTTAATGGCGGTCGAGCAGAGCGGAATGAGTACATTCTGTTACATGAATTTCATAAACTGAAGTACATATGTCCCGATAAAACCTTTGGTAAAAAGGCTCTCCCACCTACAAAGTCTGATGACCCCGATGACCCCGATGGCGAGGGTGGCGCAGGAGGGGGGAAAGGCGTAAAAGGAAAGCGTGACAAGTATAAGGGCGGGTTAGTATTTGAGCCGAAACGCGGGCTCTGGGATAAATATATATTGGTCATGGACTTCAACTCGCTGTATCCAAGTATTATCCAGGAGTACAACATAGATTTCACGACGGTGGAAAGGGATGAGGTACGTATTGGTTTTGGGAGTGTGCATGGGTATTGATATGCTCCACGTAGAGCGATGACATTCCTGAGCCTCCCCCATCTGAAGTAGCACAGGGTGTACTACCTAGGCTTATTGCTACCCTTGTCAGTCGACGGCGGCAAGTCAAATCTCTAATGAAGGACAAGTCTGTCTCACATGCCAAGCTGCTTCAGGTGCGCATATTACTTATGTATTCGCTCTCGAGATGAGGTATTGATGCATAAATTCACAGTACGACATAAAGCAGCAAGCTCTGAAGCTGACTGCTAATAGTATGTATGGGTGTCTTGGTTTTGAATACTCGCGATTTTACGCGCGACCACTTGCCGCCCTTACTACTTTCAAGGGACGAGAGATTCTGACTCACACCAGAGAGCTCGCTGAGAGCCTACAGCTCGACGTAATAACCTTCACCCTCCTCTTTATTATTGTTTGACGCCATCATACAGGTCGTCTATGGTGACACAGATTCTGTATTCGTCAATTCTAACGTGACAGAATTGTCTGAGGCACTCAAAATCTCAGCCGAGTTCAAAAAAGCCGTGAACGACCGGTACAAACTACTGGAGATTGACTTGGACGGCATTTTCGCCCGGCTGTTGCTATTACAAAAGAAGAAGTACGCTGCAATCAAGGTTGAGGATGGCTCGAGGACATCGACAGAAGTAAAAGGGTTGGATATGAAAAGGAGAGAATACTGTGTGCTTTCCAAAAGCGTATCACAGTAAGTCAATGATCCCTTAACGTGGATTTTAGACTGAAACTAATACACGGCGTTGAAAGATATGTGCTGGATCAGATTCTTTCAGGAGAGGCCACTGAAACTGTGGTAGAGCGAATACATGAATATTTGGCCACTGTTGGGGAAAATGTCCGCGGTGGTAAAGTCAAACTTGATGACTTTATTGTCTATAAGGTATGACCTACTGTACTCATCTTGAAAACCAGTAGATCATGCCTTTTCTTTCTTGTAGCGCCTTGGAAAGAATCCTGAAGACTACCCAGACGCTAAGTCTCAACCTCATGTCCAAGTTGCCATGCGCATGAAAGCCAAAGGTGGAAGCGCGCGTAGTGGAGATGTTATCCCATATGTCTTCTGTATCGCTGCCGGAGAGGAGAGTGCTAAAAGTGCGCAGGCAGAACGTGCCAAGCACCCGGACGAGATAAAGAAAGCTGCACCCGGCGAAATGAACATTGACTACGAACATTATCTCGCGTTACAAGTACTGCCCCCCATCGAACGTCTTTGTGAACCGATTGAGGGGACAGATAAAGCGAGATTGGCAGAGTGTCTTGGTATGTTCATCTATCAAGTAAAGACGATGCTTTTCAGGGCCAACTAACGTCTATGTCCAGGCCTAGATCCAGCGCGATTCCGTAGCTCACTCGCTGGACAAGACGTCGGTATGACATTCGGCACACTCGATTCTCGGACGTCGGACTCGGAACGTTTCCGCGATGCCATACCATTTATTGTGAGGTGCCGATCCTGCAAGGGACAGATTGTCTTCGCCCCCATCAATGATGGATCCACTCTTTTGCGGTCCGATGGGCCTATCTGCCCCGCATGTAAAGCCATATTTGGCACCGCATCGTTGATAGCGCAACTGGAAGTACAGATCAGAAAGTGCATCTCCAGATACTACGAATTCTGGACAGTGTGCGATGATCCAACGTGCGGCGCACGTACGAGAGGAATGGGAGTGTATGGAAGGCGTTGCCTGAGGCGCGTAGAGGCAAGCGAGACTGGTGGAAGTGGTGGTGTCGAAGAGAGGTGCAAAGGAAATGTGAGAATTGAATACGGGGATGCAGACTTGTACGATCAAATGCGATATTTCGCATCTCTATTCGACGCGGAAAGGGCAGTGAGGGGAGCGTTGGATCGTGGTACGTGCATGGGATCATTCTTTTTCCTTTCATCCTTCTCGAGTCCATTTCATTTTTTGTTTGTCGCACCTCACTGGTAGTGGTGTGGATACTGATTAAAATTTTGCATAAAACAGAGAAAATGATCACATTGACTAGTCACAATGTCATTTTTTTGCAGACGATGATGGAGACGGTGGAAAAATATACCGATCAATGTGGACGACGATGGGTTGATTTGAAGTCTTTGTTTTCATAAACTTACGTCGCCTAGAACAGGTTAAACGTGCCGTTTATGCATATATAAATTTGTAAAGTAAGCATTTGGGTGTCTAGTTAATTGAAATCTGAATCTACAATGTAATGTCAATTGTATCCCCTGGATTTGGTGCTGTCATGATTTGGGAGATAGTGGGGGTATGTCAGATACCGTCCCATACCGTCGACGATGATATAGAAGGGGCAGCGTCCTTTCATCTTCTTCATGAACATCACCCTTGATTAAAATTTTATCTTCCGTGAATGAGGACACTTCCTCGACACGCATAACGCGAGCGATGAATAAATCAGAGGAGGGTCCCGAAGCCACCTCATCCCATACCTCCTTCCCTGCAGCATTCGCATGCAATTCGTCAATACCAGCGCTCCCCTGTTCTAACCTGCGCAGATCGGATAGAGGCCAAGAATGTCCAAGTAGCGTGCACGAGATAGCCCCAAGCGAATTTGAGAGTATTGGGAGACCTTCTTTAGTCGTTGTCCATCGAAATGGTATTTCTGTGCTTTCAGCGTATGAGAACGGGTGTGGGTGAAGATCAGGCCTAGAGAAAATATGGGCTAGATGTGATTGTGAGGCGGAGAGTATATTAATGACCATATGGGAGGACTTTTTCGAGCGTAATTGGGAGGTTAGGTTGTCGTGAGCATTAAGGGAGGTTGCCATGCGTGAAGGAACGCGCAGAGAAAATGCAATAAGTGGGTGTGGATCGAGCGCAATAGAGGTGAACGAGGAAAGTGTTGCACCGTGAAAAGTTGATTCGCGGCTTGATGATTCTGCGTGTAGTAAAGACGTGACTACTGCCACAGGTTGCGCGGTTTCGCGAAGAAGAGCACGGAGGCTCTCTCGTGTTTTGTCTGGGTGGTCATCGTCAGATCGAAATCTGGGCGACGTGACCATATATCGACAGGGCGCCTTGAATGACGGTGCATAACATGGCACTACGCGTCGTATTGCGAAAAATGTGGCATTTTGAAGCATTTGCTGGACTTCACTCGGCTTTCGCGTCTATCGAGGATATTGGAATTGGAACCTGAATATGTGTTGTTTGGCATTGTTAGTTTCAGAGGACCTCGGACAACAACCACCAACCGATCGATCGCCTTGTCTTGAAGTACTCTAACTTCTATTTCTTGAACTGTGTGTAGCGTACTACCTTTTCACTTGAGCCTCGAAATGTTTCATCACACCTTTATCTCTGCATATGCCCACCACACATGTGGGCGTTACTTATATCGAGTAGTCTACTGGCAAATTTAGTTGTAGTCTCGCTATAGTTCAAATCTATAGAATAGTTTATAATCCAGGATGTTAAACAGAACACCGTAGTACATTAACTTGAATAGAACTTGGCACCGTTCCTTGTGTTTAGGGTTATTGGGTGTAACTTCGAAGTCAGAAACTTCTTTTTGTACTCACAGCAAAATACCTGCGTTAGTCATCTCTGCCTAATAGCAAGCCTCCAATGTGACCGGTAATGTATAGAAATCTAGATATAAATGGTAATTATCTACCTTCGTTCCACTCCCCGCTTTTCTCTCTCGTTGGACGCACGAGTTAATCGGCAGTTCGTCGTATGTAAGCCTTTAATTATAGGACGATAGGTGCATTCTCACTCACCCAACATATCTTTTTGCGCTCAATCCAACCGTTCTAACCGCTGGCGCAAGGTCGCAGGTGTCACTACTGCACTCTCCTTGTTTCACTGAGGCTCTATCATTATTGATGCTGTACTCCAAGGGCAAAACAGCTCTCGCGCTCTGGTAATGCACATTTCTACATTTGAGGTATAACTCAGGTTTCTAGTTTCGTAAATATATGAGTAAATCGATCAAATGAGTCTCCGTAACTGACTTAAAAACATTAGACGTGAGTGATAAAGCAAATGATGCAGCTAATTGCAAGACAGTGAGAGGTGTAAAGGTGTAAAGGAGACAGTGATGTATCTAGATTAGAGAATATATGTGTGCCTTCATTCGTTAAATGAGCTTTTATAAACCAGTCAAGCCATTTCGAGAAGATACTCACAGACTACCCTTCATTTCTCCACGCATAGTTCCGTGAAGTCGTATCTCCAACGATATCAGTTTTCAGTATATTCTACTACTCCACCCGCATCAAGCCTCCCACGACGCACTTGCTCGCCTCGCGAACGGAGGATATCTTCGACAGTTTTTAGTTTGCCTTCTTCTGTACTATCTTTGAACCACCCTAGGTGGTCAGCGATGAGATGTCTTTATTGAAGAACCAGCACAATCACAATCAGCTATCCGAGACAGACACAGAAGTTTCAAGACCATATGTATACCTATTTTGACATCCTGGACATTCCACGAGCACAATACCGCGCTCGTAAGCTCTTTTGGTAAATGTGTGCGTGGAGCGGGTGGAGCAACCCGGTGCGGTACATGTGAAGGTCAGTGAGAGACGTGGTTCTAGAGGGTCAGTAGTAAGAGGTTGAGATGAGGGGGATATGACGGGTGTTGAGGACGTCGTGGATGGTGGAGGTGAAGATGACGCGGGGGGCGGTGATGACGATGATGACGAATTATAACGAGAAATGCCCAGTCGTAGTCTTAGCTGAACTGATACAGATGCAGGCAATGATGAATGCGGGGCTATGAGTGAGCGCAGGGGAGGAGCAATACCCACGTTGCGGAAAAGTCTAGAGGGAAGCATGATAGAGGAAGCTAAAGAAATTTTGCCACAAATAGCGACTTCTCGATCGTTGTTTGGCAAAGGCCTCTGATCCAAACAACTTACGCCGTGACTCACGGTCACAGTCATGCACCTGGGACCTCTCAGATTGATAGTCGTGGCATTTTGGTTATTCGCTCTTCCACGCTCGAATCAATTCTCAGTCTGAGTCACTCTTTTCAATTCGGCGGTGTTAATCTTGGAAGATGATACGCTGCGTCGCTCATCGCTTGCTCAACCGCATTTCGGATGACACATCTCAGTATTCAGATGCTCGCGCTCAGCTCGGATACGGACTTCAAGTTTGAAAGACAATCCACTAATTACTCCTACAGCTAACTCAAAAAAGATCTAAGATCCGTCGTCCGTGAAGTGGATCCCACGAAATAATCGACTGAACAGTAATTCCTTCCCCATTCTTTCCCCGCAATTCATATCGAAAGCTAGGCTGTGTGGGTTTAGGGCGGGCAGATGACTGCTGCCCATGACTATATGTGATAGCTGTAAGTATGATTTTGTCGAGGACACATAACTCGGGATGTGGGTGGAGAGCTTATTATCTCGTCATATCTATTTGTCAGCATGAATGTATGCAACTGTAGCTGCTGACGTTTCTGCGATCGTGTTCTATCGTGGTCCGTTCGAATCGTGGCACGCTTTCCTCCTTCCGATCTTCGAGCGAGTAATACACTCCTAAACTGTTTTACACTTATGAATGCCAAGTGCCACTCCATTCGTCCCTTGTGTTTCTTAATTTCTCACTGTCAGATCCACAGGTATAGAGTCGAAGCACATATATAAACATCTCCTTCCCATCTGCTGAATGCCTCACTAACAATCAATCCTCGTTCTCTTAAACCATGTCTCTGCCTGAAAGCACAACTGTTCTTATCGTCGGGGCTGGCCCATCGGGCGTAGCAACAGCTCTTTCTTTGATACATCACGGGTGTCGTGATTTTGTCATTGTAGATGCAGTCCTCCAAGGTCAGAACGCTTCCCGTGCTTTGGTGATCCACCCTGCTACTCTTGAGGTATGTTTCCCTAATCATTGGTTTAATCTTGTACCTGATCAATTTCAGGCTTTGAATACCATTGGTTGTGCGCAAAATCTGGTTGAAAGGGGTTTGAAAGCCAACGGGTTTTCATTTCGCAACCGAAGCTCCAATTCAGACTTGTTCTACGCCGATTTCACATCTCTGTCAAAGTACACCCCCTATCCACATATGTTGATTATATCGCAGACCACCACGGAACGCGTACTCGAAGAGAAGCTTGAAAGTTTTGGCGTTTCCGTTATTCGGCCATGCAAGGTCACCGGCATGCAGCGTAATAAACAGGACAACGACGTTACGGATGTTTCGTTCGAAGATGGTAGAGTGATCAAAGCTAGATATGTTATTGGGGCAGATGGGGCACGATCGGCGGTAAGCAGTTTCCCCCTCTGCAATCCACGAATGACGCCTTTAACGAACACCTTACAGGTGCGTACTATATCAGGCATTGGTTTCGCCGACCCCAATGTACTAGACCGTGACCTCAGTCGTACCAATATACTTACACAAATGGTTTTAGCCGACGTCTACCTTACCGACACTTCCCTTGTTCCTGATAACCACGCAGTTTCTGTCCTGTCACCAGATACCTTTTTCATCATCTCTCCTATCCCAACAAAAGCAGACGAGGCGAAAGGAATACTATATCGCATCGCATGTGGCGTGCCTCTCGAGATGGGTACTCCTCCACATGCACCACCAAAAGAATACCTCCAGAATATCCTGGATAAATTCGGTCCGAAGCCATTAAAGGCAGCTTCTTCCTTCGAAATATCAGAGGTCTTGTGGTCGACACGGTTTAGGACACATTCTGCTATCGCCGACACCTTCTTCAAGCGCCTAGGCTCCGATACGGACATGGATGCCAAAGGGGGAGGTGGAATCCTTCTTGTGGGCGATGCAGCCCATATCCACTCCCCCGCAGGCGGGCAAGGTATGAACCTCGGCTTGAGGGATGCTGTAGCCATGGGAGAAGCTATGAGTGCACACATAGAGGCCTCCCAAACCTCTTCTTCCACCGATGACCATATTTTACGGGGCCTTGCCGATTCTCGCCATGCAACTGCTCTCGAGGTTATCGCGCTGACGAAAAGTATCCTTGGGCTTTATGGGCTTCCGAGAAATCCTACATGGAACAAGTTCATGTGGTGGTGCCCTTTGAGCTTAGGTTCGATAAGGGATTATACCCTCTGGATGGCTGGAAGATTCAGGTTTGTAAGAGAATCGGCAGCGTGGCAAATGAGCGGGCTGGGAAGGAGGTAATGATTATGACTATCATCACCGGTCCGCGGAGGTTTGAAGCATCAGTCCGGAGGATCACGTAACTTTATCTATATGACGATGCCTCGGTTCGTCATGTACAATTTCATTCAAGCAGATACGATATCTATTTTCATCACCCCCCAGTCACCGAAAGGGTTTGCCATATTCGCTAAAGTAAAAATCTACCTTTGTCATGTATTTTTTTACTTCCCCTGTATTCCAATATCTCATAAAAAGCTACATGATACAATACTCACTATCACGTCTAAGTTACTTTAGGTATAACATTGAGCGTCCACTATGGCGCCCCAAGTGCACTTTCAATGTGGCGCGACAGAAACTGTAAATTGCGCGGTACACAGACCTGGCTATTCCAATAGTATACATGTGCTCGCAGTACGAAGTCACAACAACACAATATATACAGACAGATGAGCCACACACATTCTGAGGCAAAAGCTCGACATTAGTACTGCTGTCTTGTCTGACCCAAGGATGATAGGAACTATTGTCGCACCCATGGGTAACTCATCCTGTGACAATCAGTTGTCAGCTTCAAAGTCTGTTTGAGTCCGTTAAATTACCTGGATTTGGAAAGCCTTTTTACCCGTAAAAAAACTTGCTATATTCCCTCTTGCCACAAGTCTCCACTTCCTTTGGATAAAACATCATATGTTGGGCAAAAACTGGGTTTGCAAATGTGTGCTGCACAACTTCCAAAGCATCTCAATATATGAGAGTTATTGGCTTAGAGTTGTAGCCATCAAGTTCAAGTTCCTCAACTTTCCACTGGGGTCCTGTGACAAAACCAGATAAACCCAGTCTCTGCCAAAGCAGCCATTGTTCTCCATGGAGTTTAGCCACCACTTTATGGAGTCACCATTGTTCTCCTAGGAGCACAATTGTACTCCTAGGAGTCATTATACTGTAGCGAGTAGCACCTCCGACTATAAGTAGTAGGGGGTTTAGTATAGGAATACCTCAGTCGTTTCTATAGCCTCTCGGGCAGCGGCTGAGGTATGTTACATTACATTTATTAGAGATCACCTTAAACTAACATCTATTATAGTTTCACTTAGGTAAATAATAAGGTCGTTTCTATAGCCTCTCGGGCAGCGGCTGAGTTTCACTGAGTTTTATTATCCTGAAGGTAACCAATCCATCAATGCCATGAGCTGACTTTGATTCTTGAACAAAGGCAGTTCTCAATTTTTGAGCTTGTAACGTGATATAGTTAGTCCAAGCAAGTAGATCGGTAGAGAACACTTACCCATTCCAGAAGATGTACCCAGAGGAAGGGTGATATCAAAAATGAATATGTAGTGAATCCTCATCCTCCTCTTCCTGAACTTCTGAAGTAGGAGGTGGTCTGGTATGACCTGTTGGATGTGCAGTGGAAACCCAACAGCTTGTTTGACTGTTCAGATGCTGAACAATATCCGCAGAGTTGTTGTATAACTTGTGACAGTTGGGACATTGAACTTGTGCAGGCATTCTGAACCAACCTTCAAAGCTTCAAGAAAGCGATAAACTCAATAAGCACTTACCAACACAAAAATTGCAGAAGTCCTTCAAACTCCGAAACTCTCTAACTGGTAGTTACTCAGGAAGTTAGTACTCTGCAAGTTGCTCACTACCACCACAATGTCTTCACAAACCAACATTCCATTATGCCCCCCTCCCAATTGTACTTATTTGAAGAAAAAGAGTCATGCTGCACTTGAACATGAAATTGCAATCAGGAGACTTGAGTGTGGCTCCTACACTTTGCCACCTTATGCAGTGTGAGAGGTATGTATAGCTACAAATATGATGATAGATTTCTTACAGAAAAGTATTTGTTACCAGGCATCAAAGTTCCTCAAATGCGGTCTTGATACCTTATTTGACAGTGTAATTAAGAAAGCTACTTCATTGAAGTATGCCAGCAACTGTCAATGATGAGAACTGTTGTTGAAAAACCACACACAAAATAAACTAACACTCAATCCTCCCAGATTCCATGGAACTTGTGTATGGGCTTTGCCTCCTAGAACAGTTTTGAGGAGGAGGGGTAGTTGAATTATAGAAGGTAAGGATTTTATGACGAGTATGGACAAGCACTACCTTGCTAATTGTAGCACAAGGTAGGTTTGAGAACAATGAGGTGATGAGGTGACAAGGTTTCCAGTGATAGCAGGCTCCTGACACACAGACTGTAGTGCTTAGAATGCCTCTAATTGAAAGGGATGACAATGACTTTGAAAGTGACAAGTGACGATGACAGCAGTTAACAGTGGTAGCAGTGGGAAGTGTTGTGACCACACTGGATCACAAGTAGCAGTAAACAGTAGACTTGAGATTAGAGAAGAAGTCTGGATTAGAATTCTTGTTCTTATTTCACAAGGTAAAATACAGGGGTTTATATAGTAAAAGAAAGGTAGGCTATGCACAGTATAGCTGTGCAAAAAAAATGAGAAAGAACATGAAGGAAGGAATGTATGCTGCCAAATCCTGCATGGGTATTACAGGATAAGATTGTCATAATAAGGAAAAGAAAGAGATAGAATAATGAATGCTGTGTAAATAATGTCACAGGTTTGTACAGCGATAAAATAAAGTCCAATATCAGAAAGAGAGCAAGAAAATCATGATGTCATGGGAAGATGCAGTAAAAAAAGGGAAAGGCAAAACAATATCAGTATCAACATAGTTCTTTTATTGTCAGCCAGGCATTCTAAAATAATATGTGTCCATAAAAATGATTCAAAAATCAAAAATAATTGCACTGCAAATGAATGTTCTGCTGAAAAAAAGGAACTGGAGCCACCGGTCCACCACCTAGTCCAAATCCAATGGTTCCATGGCTTTACCAATGCTCTGGTTATTTTACCAATGCTCTAGTTATAGTAGACCACCTGGTCAAATGAGGGAGGGAGAAGAGTAGTTCCAATCTGGAACAAGTGTGTCCCAGGCAGTGTGTGGTAAGTGTAGCTGTAGCGGAGACAATGGATGAAGGATAGATATACCCAAGTGAATGGGACAGTGATGTTGTAACAACCAAAGTTTTGATACTCTGGCGGACAACTCAGGCAAAGCTATAGAGGTAGTGAGGGGAGTGGTTACCCTTAGGATAGGGCTGAGTTAGTTGTGGGTAAACAATAGGAGGACTTGCTGAGGAGTCTCCTTGATCTATTGGGGTATATATACTACTATAGGTTGTTTGTACATATATACTACACAGTTGATGAAGGTAGTGGCTGATAATGTCATTGTTACGATAACACAATTTCCGGACATCTCCTGTCCTTTTTATTCTCTGCTTTAACTTTATACTTTAAGTGCCACGTGGCATTTCCCTTTCTCGCGCCGCGTTGCCTTTCTTTTACTTTTAGACTTAACTCTCTCACGCAGTGGAGCTGGCCATACGGGCTAGGCCCTATGACATCATCAGCCACTGCCTTCATCAACTGTATAGTACACATGTACAAACAACCTGTAGTAGTATATATACCCCAATAGATCCAGGAGACTCCTCAGCGAGTCCTCCTGTTGTATACCAACTAACTCACTGCAGCCCTCGGGGTACCCACTCCCCATCTTCCACTACCTTTATAGTGTGTTCCTGTGTGCGCCAGAGTAACTAACTCTTGGTTGTTACATTAGGACTCGCTCTTTCTACTCTCTCGCACGTGTGTGCAGAAGTCCCATCATTTGGGCACCCGGACTCCAGGGTGAAGGAGATTGGTTAGCGGTTAGGAATATCCCACATAGCAGATAGGTGCGCTCCTAGCGACGGCCTTGTAGTGCTTCGGGAGAAGAACGCAAACCTTCGATACGCGGCCCCCAGCGTTAAGGGGAGTACCTTAGCTCAGCAGTCGGTGTGGAACCACTGTTGATTAGATTTAGAATACAAAGCTTTCACTTTCGAATACCTCTGACCAGGCCGGGCACTTGCCTCCGCCAGTCTGGAGAAGGGTTGACAGCTTAACAAGCGGACCACCCCCTGACAACCGTTCGGACCAGGGTTTATTACGTTTACATTTTTATATACCTTTTCAAATACTATAGTGTGGGTAGTCGGAGATTGAAATCCGATACTCAGCTGGGAAGAGGTTGATCCGCAGATAGCAAGCGGGGACCCCCAGTTACCTATTTTTACGTTACCCAAAGAGAACAAGTCGACATGTCGTCGCAAGATATGAATGAATGCGCTACTGCACGCAATGCGTGTGCAGATAGCGGAATTAACCTCGCAGCTCGCCGAGATACAGGCCAACCCCCCTGTAGCAACCCCCTCGGTAGAGAAAAAGTTTAACAAGAAAGTCGAAGTCGTCGCTGACCCTGGCGCCTTCGAAGGAGACCGAGCGCGATTTGCCGAATGGTGGATCAAGCTCCAGATTTGGGTCAAGGCGAACTGGGACGCTTTCGCCGACGATTTTGAGGTAGCCACTGCGGTGCTATCTCGCCTAAAAGGACCTGTGGCGGGTCGATACGCCCAAGTAAGACTCCAGGAATGCTACACTGCGGGTGTGGTGGCCTACCTGGGACGATCTCAAGAAGAGATCGAAAATATTTCAAACCGCA